GCCAATTTAGCCATCGACAAGCTAGTACAATGGATCCACCATAACAAACTAATCCTAAACCGAGACAAAACAATCACTATACCCTTCCACAACTTCCACTCAACACAACAATACTCAGCAAATTTAACATTAAAAGGAAACAGCATCAGACAAGCACAGAAAACAAAATTTCTCAGAATTACCATACACTCCAACCACAAGTGGAACTCTCACCTAGAAGACATTAATTCAAAATTGAGCAAACTTAATTACGCTCTTAGGATAATAATAATAAGAAACAGCACCTATGATACAGCACGAACAGTGTACTTTGCAAATGTGCACTCTATTCTCAAATACGGGATAATAATATGGGGCAAAGCACCAGAGGCTAAACAAACATTCAAAATACAAAAGAGAATCATTCAAACAATAACAAATACAAAAAGAACAGAGTCCTGCAGATCTCGTTTCAAAAAACTTATCATACTTTCACTGCCGTGTATTTTTATTTATGAAATTAACATGTTTGTAAAGAAAAATCTAGTAAATAATGATACACTTTACAAATTCAACTCAAGCTTACACCCCTATAACACAAGGCAAGCATGTAACCTTCATCAACCAATGTGTACAAGCACATTATACCAAAAGAGTACATTCTCTTCAGGTATACAATTCTTTAACAAATTACCAATACATCTGAGAAACATGACAGGCTTGTACAACTTCAAAAAAAACTTAAACATTTCCTTGGGGGAAAAACTTTTTTTATAGCATTCAGGAATACCTCAATGACTAACTAACACGTGCAATGTGATTTCAGGTGCTGCAGTAGGACTAGGTGTAGAAATAGGAAAAAATCTGCTCATAACCTGCCTCCTCCCCATTTCAAGATACTATCTAGGAACATACTAACTCTGTTAAACCATAAGTAGCTGTTACCATAATTATTATAATGTACTGTTAGTATACTATTATTATATTATAAGTAATGTTATCTATTATATTTATTATTATTATTATTATTATTATTATTATTATTATTATTAAAAGTAGTAGCAGTAAAATTACTGTATCAATAAAATGATATTCTAAAAATAAAATGTTATTTATCTTGAAATGTTAAAATATTTTAAATTAAATTAAAGTAAGTCAAAGGTTCAACTAATTGCTGCTAAAAATATTTATCTTCTATGTAATATCTTAATATATCGGTAACAGGTATTGTATTATCACTACGCCAATGACCCCATCTTGATCAGGTTTTTTGTCCAGTTTCCCTCGTCCTTTGAGCAAATGCTGAGATGGCCCCTTGTTTTGCTTCTGGACAATAAAAATAAATGTAACTTCACTCGCTGCTCCCAAGATGTATACATATTTATATCATATTTGACTCATCATACACGATTACAATTGTATTTGTGACTCAATAAATATTATTATTATTATTATTATTATTATTATTATTATTATTATTATTATTATTATTATTATTATTATTATTATATGTTCAATACCGGTGTAGGTTTACCGCGAGCTTTTATATCGCACTTTTCTTGAGTTAAGCTTCTAAATTTCATTGATTTTAAATATTGAGAACTACTATTCGTATTCATTATAAACACATACTAGTGCTAAAACAGTGCACTTTCACCCAAAAAGTACACATTTTCGAAAAATTGTACTGACCCTATTTCAAAATCTCTCTTTATGAAGAGATTTCGTAAAAGAAAAAAAATCTAGCTTAAACATATTAGTTTTAAGGAAACTCCGAAAAAATTTGAACTTTACAATTTTTTGAAACATCAGGGTTCTCAACGAACATGAGATCTACACCATTCTCTTATACGACCTTCACACTATCCAATAACGATATTAAATTAAAAACGATGGAGCCATTTTTTTTAATGTCCCAGGTGCTTCGCGTGAACCCTCCCCCCCCCCCCATAACAATTTTTTAGAGAATTGGCTGATCGGTTTAGCCGGTTAGCGTTGTTCACATACCGACGGAAGTTTTGCCGTCAATCGATTTTTTTGGTATCAAGGACCCACAAAACGTGGGTTCGGGCTACATCACGTGTTAGAGTATTTTTATTTTTAAATTTAGCAACTGGATTTATTCTCTTTTTAGTTACCTGGTCCCTGAAATAAGAGTTTTTTCTGTCGAAAATCTGCCGTTATTTCGCTGTACATGACTTAACTTTCTCCCTACCCGAGTAGCACGAAAGTTAAAAAATAAAATAAAAAAGCAATGTACACCAACTCCTCTGTATGAGAATTCCGACAGAGCTTTAAAAATCATGTAAACTTCATGATAGGATAAATACGGTTACTAAATACAGGAGGGAAATTCCCCTAATACGTGGTGTAGTCGCCCACATTTTGTGCGTATTTGATACCGAAATATCGATTGAAGATAAAACGTCCGTCCGTCTTTCTGTGCACAATGCTAATGCATAAACCGTTTAGCCGATTTGCTCCAAAATTGATATTCCCCAATTGATCTGGCTCATGTAGCGGCCCCTAGAATTTGAAACTGATATTTTAATCTTGTGGATACTTTATATGAAGGCCCCTCGGACATTTTCTCAAAAATTGCTCCAAATTTTGTATTAACTTTTCTTTTTGGATAGTACGAACGACATTTAAGAAATGATGTAAGTCTCATTTTCATTGAAATCATTTATTTTTCGAAAATTACAGAAGTTAAAATTTTTTCGGCATCTTTCTACGACAAAAATATGAAAGATGAGAGATTTTTTTCTTCAATGAAATCTGTTCCTTAAAGACAGATTTGGAAATACCTTCGTGTACAATATTTTGAAAATTTGAGTACTTTTCGCGTAATATTGAGTGAAATATGGGCAATTTTTAATTTTTGTTTGAACTTTTTCTCAAAAAACGGCTCCAAATTTGTTGATTAAATTTTGACATCGGATAGGACGCTTAAGAGAACGGTACAGATCACATGTTTGTTAAAAAATCTGACTTTTTGAAAATTACAAAAATTGTTGTTTTCGGGACTTAATATGTATACCTTCTTTACACGTTTAATATCAACTCCAAAAGGGATTAAATATTCTTTTGTGCGCGTAGCACTAGAGTAAAGCATTAAAATGTTTTTACTCTCAAAGCAATTTGAATTATGAAAACTATTTTTGTACACAGGAGTTGTCGAAGGCTAATATAATTAATATAAACACGTGTGATTGAAAAGAGATATTCAAAGAGTACAGTAACTTTATTGTTCAGATCACATGTGAGACTATTAGAAAATTGTGCAAACACAAGAGAATTATTACGTAATATTAAGAAACGAATGCTAATATTGATTGAAGAATGAATATGTAGAAAACTTGACATAATTACTTGCTTTATTGCAGGCCTTTGAACTGCAATTTTCTGAAGGAGATAATAATGTAACAACCGGCAAAAATTGTCGTGTTATTGAGAGAGCCCTTGAATATTAGCGATGGAGCTTTCCCTTCAATATTACCGAACCCTAACCCCGAACTCTATCTTGGTGAAACTGTCCCTATATCAAATACTTCAAAATAACAACTCGAAGCTTAAATAATAAGTTTGGAGAACGAGAGGGCTATTGCTGAAATTCTACTAGTTCGTGTATGCCCGAGTGTATGTGGAAAGGATTACGTTTTCTTCCTGTGATAATCTTGTGAAATGCTTACAAAGATAAGTTATTAGCAAGTGATAAAAAGTGGTTGTGTGATATTTGTTCTCAATGACACTGATCTGTTCATATTGACTTAGTTACAGAATGGGCACCGTAAAATTGTGATCAACCAGGAGTGAATTCATATCACCATTTTTTATAGACAGAATAAATAAAATCATTAAAAATTGCACTGACACTGTTTTTGAACCTCCCATTTGTTGATAATATTTGAATTACCTCTTTTTTCATGAGTGCATGAAACATTTTAAACAAAATAACAAAGAATTCACTTCATACGAAAATATTTCATATTCCCATTTTCCTCATGTTCCTACATTACAATGAAAAGTTGAAAGAAAAATACCCAACATTTTAGTTGTATATTATCTTTTTATCATTAGATGACGTACAAATTAAAAAAAGGTGAATCACAAGTACTAAATTACGACGCATCTGTACCTTCCTGATTGCGTGTATTATTTCAATTTCAATATAACTAATCATTATTTTCTTTTAATATTGACACCATTAATCTCGACAATTGCAAATTTAAAAATTGTTAAGGTGAGAGAAGGCGCCTACGAAGTCGAGACTCGTGTGAAGTTGGACGCTTCCCTTCTAGATGTGACGTCACCAACGCCAAGGCCTATACCAAATACTGGCCTTGGCCAGTATATACTATATATACTGCCAAGGCCTATATATACTCTCTGGCCAAGGCCTTGGTGGAGAGTTCTTTACCCTTACGCGCCCAGAATTAAAAACCCGAGTATATGACCTGTACACAAAAAATACTTCACCAACACTCCATGCACTTTGCTTATAGCCTTGACGCCAGCTCGAAGAGGGCAGCACTGGGACAGGGAATTACATTGGTTGTGGTATTTTACACGTACACCATTGTCTTTAACGTCATCGCTGTCAGTTGTTAGTGTGTTGTCAGCGTGTCTTGCGCGACTCGGAATTATAGGCAAACTATGTGTACATGGTGGAAATAATTCTACCATGTATGTGCTACTGCTATGTGGATGCTCTGTGCTCTGAATGTGATGTCACAAAAGCAAACTTAATGTACGAGTTATATATGTAAAGTTCCTTTTCATTCCGTTTATTGTGTTGTCGCAGTGATGAATAGTGATATTTTTGTAGGCGAGGCAACTAACACTAAGACTGTTTCGACCATCGAATGTGAACAGCAACATTCTCTAAATAGTAATAATAATACATTTGAATCACCATTATAAGACTTGTATTGCAATACATACTAAGGGTTAATTTTCTTTAAAAACCCGGACGTGTCCAATTTTAAAGTTTTTGCATTATTGTGGAATTTTATTTAAACATGCATGGAAGAATAGATAAACTTCGTACATCAAGAATCAAAAGGCGTAAAGTAATTAAAGATGAGATGCTGTGTGAGGATGAAAGTAACATCAGAACGCAATCTGGAGACGACGACATCGTCTCGTTTAACCTACGCCAAAAGTTATTTGCACAACGGAAGCCTGTTTGGGAAGCTTTGTTTAAAAAGTACGAATCAAAAACAGAAGAGGTCAGTTCAGAAGACTGCATTAGCTTGGTTGGTGAAAGTTGGAAATCAAAAGAACGGGAATGCAAATCTGCACGTCCCTCATTAAAATTGAAAAATTGGCATGAAGAATTTATTCCTTCCTGCACTTCATCAAAGGACTACAGTGAACAACCTGCAGAAGTGGATGAAGCCGCCGAGAAAAGCGAAGATGTTGGAACCGTGGAAAACTCGGTTATTAATGAAAGTCGGGCTCGGAAATCAAACTCTATAAGGCATCTCTCCAGTAGGGCTTCCAATATTGGTAAAAAGGACAAAAAAAATAGTGTTAGTAAAGACATCAGTCAAAACATATACCAGTTGCGTTCCAGAAAAAAAAGCAACGGCAATTTTGAAAAGACAGCTGATGCCGCTCCAGGTATTATTTCAAATGGTATTAAGAAACACCAGGAGAGAACATTTGAGAATAGAACTTATGAAAAGACAAATAATGTAGAAAAATTATGTCAACATGAAAGTTCAAGGGTGCATGGGTTCAAAAATGCATGTAATAAACATGATAACAAGACTTGCTTTGACACCGAGGTTAATTTTGAAAAACAAGCACCAGTAAAAATGGATCTTATAAATTCAGCCATTCTTTCTAAACATGTTCTTGAAGAAAAGAAAAAGAATTATGGTAATGGGGATTTAAAATTTCTGAATGTTAAAAATCTTGGAAACACATCTCAAAATTCTCCTAATAAAAAATTAGGTATAGCACGTAAAGTATATAAAAAAAATTGCAAAACTAAACAGGAAACGTATGAAAATATTGCACATGATTCTCAACATTCTTTTCTAAGTTTCAGTATTGACCTCGTGGATACAGACGATGAGAGAAACGATGATTTTAGTTTGCCGTTGAAGAAAAATTTTGAAAAACAAGGACAAAAGAATGTTCAAAACAGCAAGTCTATCGTGGTTCCTGAGGAAACTGAGAGAGAAATGTTGAAATGGAGAACTGAATTCTCAAATTTTATCAAATATCAATGGAAAGATTTTCAAAAAAATCCGGGATCTATGTTATTTCCCCTCCCTAAGTTGAAGTCTTCTAATCTTGATGAAAAACTGAGTTGGGAGAGTATTATGAATTCCAATTAAATTTTTATAAAATAATTTGATTGTTTATTATTTATTTCAATATTTTGCATTTTGTAATTGCATTGTAGACTACTGAGATCTTTAGTTGAATTATGTGATTATTATGTTATATGTCAGGCAATTATAATTCAATCTTTGTTTCTGTTGATTTCCAAAAAATTGTTTGCATGTAAGTAAGAAAGAAAGAAAGAAAGAAAGAAAGAAAGAAAGAAAGAAAGAAAGAAAAAAAAAAAAAAAAAAAAAAAAAAAAAAAAAAAAAAAAAAAAAAAAAAAAAAAAAGAATAATAATAATGACATTTGAAAATTTTGATGAAAATGACAAATGTAACACTTGAGGGGATTCATCACTGACAGGCAGTGTCAGAAAATAATTAAAGTGGTGCCTTCAACTTAAGACACTTTTTTTAAATTGAAATTATTTGTGGTAATTGCTATTATTTCATTAAATGAAATTAATGTATAAAACAAATTAAAATAAAACATTCATACTACATTATGCATAAATCTTTCTACTAGAAATAATTTTTGCATTTGTTCACAGTCGTAGAAACTTTACAGTTGTTCAAAGTAGTTATTTATGATAAGGATAATGAAAGTGACCTATTATTTTGTGAGTTGAAAATGTTGCAACACAAGGCTGAGTGTTGTAATCATACTAACAAAATAAAATCACTTTGACCACATGTTATACACTTTTAGATAGCTTTACTGCCCTTCATTTAATTTTTTAATTCAAGAATACAAATGTCTTAATGATAAATTAAGGTTTTTAGTAGCTTATGATGTCAGACGAAAGTTTTTTTGTTTTCTTCGTTGCATACACAAATTTGAGGAGCAAACACTCAAAAGGTGGCACTCCATGTGGCAAAAATTCTTGTGGTTTTTCTGGAATTTTATTCCAGATGTGAGATGTCTTACAATACATTAAGTAATATTCAATTTGTTTAGTTAATGACAGGGTTGAAAAGTGTAAAATTTGTACTCTATTTTTCATTTTTAATAGAAGAGAGTGAAGTGGACTTGTCATGTTTTGAATGTTTGCTTTTCATTTATCTGAACACTTGAGCATTGTTTCATTTTTAGCACTGTGCTAAAAATTTTCACATGCAATGCATGCTTTGAAAGAACCGCCTTTACTTGTTTTAAAACATTATTTCATCTTATTCATTTTAAAGGGGTGATGACGGTTCCCTTCAGGACTCTTGTGTCATTAGGTGTGCACGACCTAAAACAAGACTGGGACCTACTACATTTATGGGTCCCCTTTTACTTTTAACTTTTTTTTCTTCACATGTGACTTTATTTTTTTAGGAAATAAAATATAGGGTGAATGAAGTTAACATTTTAATAATAAAATTAATAAATACTATTGATTTTATGTGAACCATTTACAGATCACCAGATTATTTGGACGCTGACTTCTTCATATGTCAGCTTTAAAAAGGTGAAAATCTGGAATATATCATATCTACAGAAATAAAAAGGTTTATTCAAATTATTTAATAGTTAGGCTCAAACCATAGCTTTGTAACAAAATGTCAGTATCCATTTTTTTGAAAAATCGCAATATTTTCCCCATGCTAAGTGTATAAGAAGGCAAAAATTTCAATAACATAATAATAATACTAATACTAATAATAAAAATAATGATGATGAACATGAACATTTATATTTATTTATACGTAATAGCAATATAGCAACAAAGCTTGGACTATTTGCATCAATTCATTTGTATGGAATAAATCCACTTTACTGAGTAATATTAGTGGTTCAACATAATTATTACATGACATGAGATATACATACACAATAATGTGGCACAGAATTTATAATTTGAGATTACACATATCAACACCAACAGGTTTCTTATAAGTAGCTTAAAAATTGAAGAATTCATCAGTGCATTACAAATAGTTCCAGACTAGCACATCTTTAATTGAACTTTTAAATCTTTTTAACTTTCAAATTCCAACTATCAGAAGCAGTTAGAAATAGATGTTTATTTAACATTATTGAAGTGTGTTGTGTGTGACTGATGAAAATAGCAAATTTTCTTTAATATATAGCAATCGCTGAATTGTATTCCTCAAATGTTGAAGACAAAACTATAAGCTCAGTAAATCAGTTTTAGCAATTTCGCTTATGGTACACATTGCCAGTGAGTCTGACCATCTGTGTTTGAGCTACAAAAAGGGAACTTTGTGAATGTTATTTCTTTAGATAAATCCATACATTACATGTGAGTGAATGTATTCATAATAATCAATAAGAAGTACTTCTTAAGATACTGTGTGTTGAAGATTCTATAACGTCAGGTTGTTTTTATGCAACTGCCAACATATGACTGATAACCTTGTAAAAAATTTCAAAGAATCATTGTTGATTATTTGTATTTTTGCCATTGGAAATGATAAGCACTTGTGTTTTGTTGAGATTTAGGGACCTCCTACTTACACAGTACTGGTCTTTAATTAAGTTTGAGTGCTATCTATTGATGAGTGAATTATTTACCAACAATTTCCAAAGCACTCGTGGTGTTACCTATGATAAGTTTTATTGAAATGCACTGACACTGCTCTTTTGAAATGACTGAATTAATATCACAGCTAAAGGGGAGAAACCAATGGATTCCAGCTTAGATTGTTAAGTTCTGACAAACTGTGTCAAAAGCTTCTGGTAGATCATAAAATTTGGCATCAAAACTTTTTTTGTTCTGGAAAAAAAAAAAAAATAACATTTCAGTATGGTTTCTTCTAAATCTATATTGATTTAGATTATCTGATTCAAGGCCTTTGATTTTCTGCTGTTCTATTAGTCCTGTAAAGTTTAGGTATTCTGCCATCAAGTTCTTACGTTTAATTACAGAATCAATTTAGCTTGGAGTAATGCTACAAAATGAAAGCACATTTAACTTATTACTTTCGACTTCTCACAGTTACGTTCTTATACGCGCAAATATCGATTTTCAAATTAATGTGACTAACAGTTTATTATTAAACTTAACACCTTATTCACATAAACATACAAAAAAGTCTTCTTTTACTATTTATATATATTCGCCTACAAAAGGATTAATAGAGAAATTGGAGAAGTCAAAGTTAATGCAAATTAGACTGTGAAATTTTAATCTTTTCAAAAATTAGGGGACAAAAATAGGAACGTGGAAAGCAAATCCGGGGAAGAATCAAATGTAGTTTTAATTTTTGGGACAGAATTTTCGCAACTAATGTAAAATGATCGTATTAGAGAAAAACGCTAAAGAACAGCTTACAGTTGATATTTTGTGTGCATTTTTGTGAATATTAGCAAAAAAGCATACAAATGGCTGTACTAAATTCTAACTATTCGCACCATCCATACCTTGCATACCCTAAGTGGAGTGTAATAGTCTGAAAGCATATTTAATTGTAATGTACCCTGTTGTTTAGAATTGCAAGGAACATACATATATTATGATTAAATAAATTGTTCGCATTACAAATTTCCTAGCGTTTTTAATACTTCGAATGCCGAAAAATAGGAGCTTCTCACAAAACGTGTGTCGTAGGACCGCGATGCGATAAAGATAATGTGTTTTGAAGCATTGTTTGCAATCTATTCGATCGATTTTCTTTAACGGATCTTCAAAAGAAGAAATTTGCCAATGCTGCGAAAACGTATTTAAAAAAAGTCGCCGAGTGACAATTTTTCTGTGATCTGGCAGTTCTAGCGTGAACAGACATTCTGTTAGGGACTAAAACTGCACATTCACAATTTTTGAAGAAGTGAGAAAGTGAAAATATACGAATGACGTTGAGTACAACACTTTATTATATTAGTGAACACTTTTACAACACTTTATTGTTTTAGTCTACACTGAGAAAAAAGCGTGCCTGTTTTCTCCACTGAATATTTTTGTTATATTCAATGTTATTAGAGTAATTTCACTTTTCTGTTATTATAAATGCGAATCTGATGTTTTAATCGTAAGGTCCGTACCATTATAAAAAAGTTTCATTGTTTATTTTTTTGACAACATATCAATTTTCTTTACAATTTTATGTAAACACTCAAACAGGCCCGGCGGATAATATGGGTATGGCGGGTAGCTATATCCACACAAAACATTCTGATTGGGTAAAATACCGCCCCGGAATTTGGGATGAGAGAAATATTCCATAAACGTCAAATTTCAGAAATTACCAGTTTGTCGATATTGCAAGACTCAAAACATTTATGAGATCTACAAGGTTGCAAGATCAGCTCAACAGTATTGCGATTTTACATCTTTTTAGCACATAGCAGGCAAATCAAGCATTGTATAGCAGGTAACAAGCAGCATAGCAGGTAACAAGTATTGTATTTCTGGGCCAATGACCCCATCTCGATCAGGTTTTGTTCAGTTTCCCTGGTCCTTTGAGCAAATGCTGAGATGGCCCCTTGTTTGCTCCTGAACAGTAATATAACTTCGATCTCTTCACCCGCTCTCTTCACTCTTCTATTGACTCGTCATACACGATTGTAATTGTATATGTGACTCAATAAATATTATTATTATTATTATTATTATTATTATTATTATTATTATTATTATTAAATCGTTTTGCAATAATTGTTAAATTAGTTTATATAAAAAAACGCAAAAAGCAGCCCTGCTTGCAAAAATGAGCTGCTGAAGTTACATAAAATAAACGGAATAACAATTTAATGATAAGCATGACGATTTGAAAAAAAAAGTTTTGTATTTTTCCCTTCAAATACATTTTTAGTGGGTGATGGATGATGGAGACCCTCACCCGGGTCAACTGCCCACTTAGCATTAATACCAATCGCCGGCCCTGCACTCAAATAAATGCACAGAACTGTTGCAGCAATTTTCAAAGTGTGCTATTTAGAATGGTAAAAATGTTTTTTAATTTTGTAACCACAGATCAGCAATCGAAAAAATCACAAAGTTTTGGGTTATAAGAAGAAGTTTTGAGATTTTTTCAAGCCTGTTCCAGGGTTTTAAGACAGAAAAAAAATGTTATTTATTTTTAAAAAACTTCGCGTTTGAATTTGGCGCTGGGGAAAATATCAAAAAATGTTGCTCTGATACTTCAAATTATTTTGTTATTTTCCATATTTTTTTAGTCAAAGAAAATGGTATTACGTTGTCAAAATAAATAAATCGAATAAAAAGCTTTTTTTCTGGCAGTAAAAAAATGTGAGTTGTGGGATGGGGCTAAGAAATTTTAAAAAAATATTAAGTTTATGTTAGAATTGTAGTGTAACTACTCATATGCCACTTGGTTTGAGGGAACTTTTTACCATGCCATCCTATGCAGGTGGACCCTTTGCCCGCCAATAAAAGATCCGAAATGTCACCTGTTTTTAGTAGTTGAACTCTTGCTGCACGGCAGTGGTTTAGAATGATCATTTCTTTAGAATCTTGCAGCAATTGTTTCAGAAGGGTTCGACAGGAATTGAGTGTCCCCTTTCCAATTTTCCTTTAAACTTTGACATATTCTTCCTATTTGTCATGCATGTCCCAATAAAAGCAAATTGAATATTCAACAATAGGGCAATAGGTAGGAAGTTAGCACGCGTCAGCTACTACTGAACAGCTTCACGCTAGCTGCCGTTATAACTTAGTAAGCATAGAGATAGTAAGTAAGTAAGTGATGTTACTGCACTTGGAAGTCTCTTCCTCTGTGCAGCTTGACAGAATGTATCGGCATCAGCAGATCGCAGTATGCACACTGTGTAAGACATCTTACCCCGTGGAGTGAACACATATGTTACACCGTGTATGAATCATGTAACTGAACGAATCGCGGCCACCAATTCGAAGTCACGGCGTAAGAAATATCTTACACACACCGTGTCGCAGATATATTAAATATATCTTACACGTACTGCAACATGATGTAAGATATATTAAATATCTCACACCGTTTCGCAGTTAGTGAGTCAGCGCCCTCTAGAATAAAGGCGCTGTGTGAGTTGGGGACCAGAGTGCGCTGGTACTGGTTACCACTGGTTACTCTTTCTTACATCTAAGGTGATGCATCAAGGGGAGCGGGAGAACGTCTTTAAAATAAGTCCGTATGCTTTTAGTTGGGCTGGTGTGAAAATTTCATAGAAGAAAGAAGGGCGACGATTGTTGATTTGATCTTTGTCTCTCTTTCAATATTAGTTCTATTATCTCTATAAAAAGTTTACGTATCTGTAATTAATTTTTTTACCACATTGTCATGTTTTCCGTCGCAACTTGCCTTTAAACTCGTAATTTCATTACGAACCAATGGCTCGTACCTGTCAAAGCATGCTGTTAGCATGTCTGTGCGCTAGTACTCGTGTGTAAAAGCGTGATGTTTTTTAGAGATATTGTTTCATATATTTATTTTGTATGCAGAAATAAGTGATGCAAAATGAATAAAACAGGTGCAAAAATATGTAAGGTGCGTACAGTTGCCCTTGCCAAACACACAAGCACTCAAACGTGTGAAGCAGATTCTTTGTCGAGGCCAACGTTTAATTGTAAAAGATCTATTAAAAACTTATTTTATAAAAGAAACGCTAGTTCATTGAATCCCAGGGCCACCAGGAAGTTAATGCAGACATTATTTGTGAAGCCGCGATACGAATCAACTCCTGTAAAACCCACTGAAAATCACGAAAATTCTGATACTGATTGTGAGATGTTGGTAGAAAATGTGACTCCCATTAGAACAAGATGTAAAAGTTTCCGAAGTTTAAATGAAGGTTCTGATTCGTTGAAACAACATACAAATAGAATGAGCAAATCAGACAGTAATGTTCCTTATCAACTTTGTAGCAATCCTACTACAAATGATATGCTTTCACTTGATGAAACAGTTTTGAAGTTTTTGGACTTGGATGGTGTTGAAGGTCATTTACCAAGAATGGGCAAAGACACTACTTTAAATACGAATTTTGGTCACATTCCTGGAACACCGGGTCATTTGATTCTTGACCCACCTGCTGAATGTTCTCGAGTAAATACTATTGTAAATGAAGCATCAGTTGTGGTTGAACATGTCAGTCCTTGTAGAAGTGATGATGCAAAATTGCAAATGCTGCCTCCTATTTCAGTGCCAAAAAATGCCAAAAAGACATCAAAGCTCTCTCAAGTTCCAGAAAATGGTTCTCGTGTTGCTGATGTGCATTTAGATGAATTGAACAATATTGATATTGATAATTGGATTGATGATTCATTTATGGAGAGGGTGTTGAATACAGGTGATGACCCAGTAGAAACTGCAAATGCAAATAAAAAAAACCCTGTTGTTTCAAAAAGACAGTTTCAAGATGATCATAAAAGACCAATCTTGAATAAGAAACAGAAGAAAGATAACAACTTGACACCTGGAAGATACGAGAACAGGCAGAAAAAAGAAAATCCAAGGGCTTCACAAACATTTTCAGATTTGAAACTTGCTTCTGTAAACGATGGAATTTTGACTGTAAAACAGAATTTGCCATTGGAAGTAATTAAAAAGGCAAGAGGTATAGATGAGGGGACTTACAAAGAGCAAATTATACAAAATAAAAATTCTGTCAAAGATGTTTCTGTCAGTGACAGTAATTCTTCAATGTTATCTATTGGAGAGAAAGTACTTAGAACATTAGTGACAAATGCACAGAAACCTGTAGTCAGTAGACCTAAAACTTCTGATGTTTTCTCACCTGCAGCAGATTCGGGAAATTTTTCAAAGCTGGGCTCATTCTTTGGACTATCATCTGAAGTGAAAGTTTTGTTTGAAAAATACAAGGGAATAAAAAATTTGTATGGTGAGCACAGCCTTATTATTATAATTATTATTTTTAGTCACACTTCTTAGTCTTAGTCTGGTTGCTACTTATCTGGACTCTGGTCCTACCCAAGAACTAAAGAAACCCAGTGGTACTTTCACAACATGTGATGTGTACATTGCGATCTTTGGCATTTTGGTTATTGGACTCTTGTCAACTAGTGTTAAACACTACTGAGTCAGTCATGAGCCTCTGTTTCTAGCCTTGACATCACTATCTAGAGATTACAATATTTTGTCACATTTTTTGATTTTTCCAACTATTCTGTAGCCTAGTGGATTAATCATGATCACTCTTCATACATGTTTTTCTTCAATAGCAGTGAGATTGACATGTTATTATCCAATTGCTACATTGCTTCAAATGCTACATTGTTTATTTACACTTTTACTTACCACTGGGTTACTCTTCTTCACTCTTCTGTTTTGCACTACTCAAATTCACAGCTTTCCAAATTGTCTTCCTCTAGAGCTATAAGCTACAGTTTTATTTTTAACATCAAACAATTTCATTAAATTAAAAATTGAATAATTAATTACAAGAGCAAATAAATTTATTAAAATCAAATTTATATTAACAAATGATATAATTTGCTTTATGAATTAATATTAGGAGTAGATTGAAACCTGCCCTGTTACTTAATTCATTTTCCAATTGCAATCCATTTTCCTCTAGTTCAATCATTACATCATTACAAAAGTGGTCAATATTGAGTCCTTGTGGTGGATTTGAACTTGCTATACTTTTCACACTTTCTGTTAAAAAAATAGATGTGTAACCACATGCCATACAAATGCCATAAAACTTTCGCCCTACTAATTCAGCCATTTATTTTATAGAGTAGGATTTCCATTAGCAGTTGCATACAGCATATATGTAATGGTTTGTTTCTTGTGACTTTGGAGGCATGGGAGAAACAAGTTGTTTTCTGAGGGGGAGGGGGAGGAAACGAGGTCTCACTGTTATTCTGAAATAAGAGAACAGCATGTAAAAATTATTTTGAACAGGTTAAGTAAAATTACTGTGACTGGACAATGGCTTGAATAATTTTAGCCAAAGGAATTTACAAAAGTGGTCAATATTGAGTTGGGGAACCCTGGCTTTAGTCTTATTTATATTTATTAATACTTAAAATTATTTATTATCTTTCAAACTTTGCATTTCTTGAATGATTTAACACTTTTTCAGTAGCAAAGTCTGCATAAAATTGAATGACCTTCTGGAACTTATTTTATTTCCTGAACATGGATCAGCTTTTCAAATTTGCAGGTGTGATTTGAAGGGTCTGAACAAGTTTGAAATAATATCAATTGGATAGGTAGCTAAATGTAAATGAGTCAACGGTTTGAATTTGATGATTTCAGAGCTACTGCAACCAGGGTTTTAAAAGAATAATACATTTACTAGATCTACATTTCTTAGAGAGTCGAGAGACCTAGTTGAAAAAATCAGAATCATTGTATCAAAAAAACAGGACATTTCACAAAAAAGCAGGACATTTTTTTATAAAGACATTCAGGTACAAAGTTCTTAATACATTAATACTTCACTTAACTGTAATTTAGTATTATCTATCACACATTTCTGAGTTTCCTATTTTTCTTAATAATTCTACATTCTCTGGACTTTGAAATTATTTTTAAAATCTATAAGGAAAAATCATTAAAATTGTACAGCAATAGGTAATAATGTGTGCTATATTGCAAAATTACTTTTAGCTAATTCAATACAATTCATCTAAATAATAGTCTATGAAACTCTTTTGTGTTTAATTCAAATAATTTTAGCCAAAATAATTATATAATGTACTTGATCAATTCTCATTTATAAATTGACACTGTCAAAAATGCTATTTTGTATTCTTATTGAGAGATGCAAATTTTAAAACATGCACCACATGTTAAGGACTATGCATTTCCTCTTCAATTGTGCCCATCTCCCTCTTGGCCATCAAGATGCTATTTAAATTTGTGTTAGATTTAGATCTGCTGAGTTACTCTAAATTTTTGTGAACAAATTATAAATGTGAAGGTAGCAGATTCATGTCTGCTTATAAGACCTTGGGGAAAACCTCTAAAATATAGTAATATAGTAAAACCTTAGGGTGGAGCTTTTGTAAGGGGGAAACTTGCCATCCCAAATCTTGGCATGGAACAATTTTATATGTGAAAATGACCTCTATAAGCCAGAAACCTGTTCAACATAGAAACAGAAAGGGTTTTGGAGAATATAAAGTGATTATTTCCTGGCTAAGGACATTTATATTACATTTCTGGTATTATCTTTGGAAAGGCATAGTCCAAAGTGTCATGTTCTGAGACAATAGTGTGATTGACGAATTTTTCCTCTTATATCTGCTAGCGGAGGATCTTTGCCATCTCTGCAACTGTTCTGCTGCGACTTTCTCACACTTTTGTGTAATCCTTGCTCTCCCTCTGAATCCTTATGTTGGTCGTCAGCACCACGTTCATTTTTGAAAAGCTTCACCATATTTCCTTCAGCTGACAGTGAAATTCTGGGAATTCTGTCTTGTCATCTCTAGCATAGCATATTCTACACATTCTAAATTTATTTGAAAAATGCGGAATAAGAGCTTCTCTTATATCTCCCCTGTGTTTTGCTGTTGATTTTTTATTTCCTGTAATATTTGCATTGGTAAATTAGCTTTATTTTCATTATTTTGTTTCACTAACAAAATTATGTTGAAAATCCTGTGCTTAGGTTATATGTTGAATTTTTGGAAACCCTCTACAAAACAGAACATTTTTTGAAGGAACTGTCAGGTTCCGTCTTAGGCAGATTTTACTGTACTGGAATGCTTGCTACTAAACATCTTCCATATTGTAATAGTGAGCTGAGCAAGACAGTGTAAGGAGAGTATGTCTCATTCTGATAATCGCGATAAGTGGATTGTGCCAAAAGGACAGCCTCTCCTGAGACTGGCTGTTTGACAGCTTTTTTGGCTCGCAGATACTACTCTGGTGAGCCTTCCAGGATTTCTACATTTCAAAAAATACAGCTAAACTAAATCTAAAATGGTCAGAGAAGAAATTTTGTGGCAGCTTTATTATTAAGGATTCTTTCTGTCTCGGTTTACAGTGTTCACTGTACAAATAAAAAAATAAGACGTACTTGCCTTGCCTATTTATTTATGATTCTAAGTTTTTGTCAAAACTGACTTAATAGTGGGTACATATTTTCATGCAATACTGTTATTTATAATTAGATTATGTGTCATAGAAGTCACGTTCATCAGAAGTTAGTATCAACTACTCACTCTAAGAAATCCACATGATACAAATAAGTTCCCTTACAACATATTGCCAGATGATATTAATTAAAATCAATACACATTTGTGAGAACATAATGAAATATTTTCTGATGTATAACTGTTTCTGTACTGATAGAGACAATATTGATGATTAAAAAAGAAAAATCATATTTATTTTTATCCTGGTTTCTTAAAAATTAGTTAACATTCGTACTGTATAATTTTAAGAATAAATATACCTGTAACGAGTAAAGTACTTCAACTTCTGGATCAATAACACTGTCTTGATTTAGTTTTCATCCAGTTTCCCTGATTCATTGAGCAAATGCTGAGATGACCCCTTGTTTTGTTTCTGGACATAAATGTAACTTCACTATGCACAGGTTTTGGTGAGCTCTCCTTTTGCTATTTGTGGTACATGTAGGGGGTATAGATTACTATATTTTTTACAATAATAAAAAATCAAATCTGTAGTTTGTTTAACAATGCAAGTAATGTTTTGTATAACTTGGGACCAAAATTTTAATGTGGCTAATTTAACTTTGTATGTAATTTTCATTCAACTATTATTGTTAAAGGGTGGAGATGAGATTCTCGAGATCAAGAAAACATTTGCTGAATGTACTTCTCCACTATGTGTCACTCAGTTTTTACTGTTCTTTGACAAAATAAATCAAATTAAAAATCTCTCGAAGAGGGCTACAAATTAAGTGTGGTCGAAATATAGGGGGAAAATATTAAAATACTGGTGTTATAACATATTATATTTATTTTTGACCTTATTCCGATGGAATTTTATTAAATGTATACATTATATTCACATTTTGATTTCTGCAAAGGGTGCATTATATAAGGTCATATAAGTAACCAGCAACTTTCACTTTCATCTTCTTTTCTTCACATTGTTCTGTTAAATAATATCTGATAATGATATTTATCTGAAATTCCTGTTAATTGACAGTTTTGTCAAATTTGTTGAGAAATGTTTAATTACTTTATCTCTATGTTACATTATGTGTTAATTACGCAAAAATGCAATGCATCTTAATACATTATCAGTATTAAGTTGCATTGGGGTGTAAATTTGTATTAAAAAGAATGTTATTTCATTAAATTTCATTTAACTACAGTGATTATTTGTGTGACTTCAATAATGCTTTGAACATTTTTCTTTTCTCTTGTATTAATAGCTAGCTCTGCTTTGTCTGGGTTCACAAACAAATATTCGAAAGGAAATGGAATGAATTTAATTTATGGTGTATCCCTGTCCTAGCATGTTCTGACCCATTGTGACTTGACCTCATGTTCTTGTGTTAAGTGTTCTAATTGTTAAGTATTTATTGACATTTGCTCCCATGTTCCTGGAGGTGAATGAAGTTCTTTTGACAGGCATTTCTTAATTCTGTAACCGATTGAATCAAGGCTTAGTGTTTTCTTTCTGGTTTGTGTTGCTTTTCCCATGATAATTTTCCATCTCCTTGTAATATCAATTTTCAGAAAATTGTTTAGTGTATCTTTCTTATTTGTTTCTCTTCCTAAGAGCTTCTTGAATTTCCCTGTCATTTTTAATCATGACCTTCATGACATAACCATCTTTTCTTGTTAATTTGTTCTTCTTTTGCACCACCTGTATTTTTCTGTGAAATTGATATTGACTCCAGTGATTTCTCTTCCTTTCTAATCTTTTTCTATTAATTTTTTTTGTTCTTTGTGTGTATTCTATGATTCAAAATTCTTCTAACTTTTAAAAGTACATTTTTATTTTCATTTTGTGGACTCTATGAAAATGTTTCTCCTTTTCATTCATTTCATTCATCAACTCATTTCCATCATCATCATCATCATCATCATCATCATCATCATCATCATCATTGTTTTGTAAATACATTTTTGTTACAGAGTGGCAGAAGGAATGTCTGAGCCTTAAAGCTGTGGAGGAAAAAACAAATTTAGTGTATGCTTTACCAACCAGTGGTGGCAAAACACTTGTTGCTGAAATATTGCTGTTACGTGAATTACTGTGCTACAAGAAAAATGTATTGTTTGTTTTACCGTATATTTCTATTGTACAAGAGAAGGTATGTTTGTGAATCTTTCATGAGTTATGTTACATATTGATGTACTGAAAAAAAAGGAGGATTTAAATAAATTGGCATGTGGGCCCATTTAGGTTCATTCTCTTTCCCAATTTGCAATTGATTTGGGATTTCTTGTAGAGGAATATGCAGGTGGAAAAGGGCAATACCCTCCAAAGAAGCGTCGTCGTAAACAGTCAATTTATGTAGCTACTATTGAGAAAGCTCATAGTTTAATTAATAGTATGATAGATTCCAAAAGACTGTCAGAGATTGGCCTCACTATTGTGGATGAGCTTCATTTGCTTGGTGAAGGTGACAGAGGTGCAACTTTGGAATGTTTACTTACCAAATTACTTTTTTCTTCTGGTGAGTATGCATTTGCTGTTTTTCGAATATAATTTGTTTTGCATTTTGTTCTTTAATTTTTTTGTGTTCTCTTTTTAAGAAAAAATTCATATTGTGGGAATGAGTGCCACTATTGGCAATTTGGAGGAAGTTGCAAAATTTCTGCGGGCAGAAATTTATGTGAATAATTTCCGACCTGTGGAATTAAAAGAATTTGTCAAATGTGAAGATTTTTTGTGGAAAGTTAAATATAATGAAGAAGAATTGCTTGAGAAAGAGAGGAAGATAGAACCTCCTGTAAGTACTAATTTGAACACCTGGAGAGATGGAGCATATCTTTTTTCCCTGGATTTGGTTGACACTAATTTCGTTTATCCACTTTGATTTTGATGCGACTAGTTAAACATAGGGAAATTGAGGTTGGTTTTTGTAATTAGAATTATTAGAGCACAAGGGTGTTGTACTTGTGTCCAAAAACTATCAACAACATCCAATCTTTTACAGGTTGAACAGTCAGTTTTAAATGGAAGTTAAAATAGGAATTTTGGAACATAATTTGGCATAATGGAAAGTAAACATTAGTAATTTTTAAAAAATGATGGAACATTTGGTATTCATATTGTAAGATCATATTACATTTCTTGATTGGTTGTCAATTCTTGTAATAATATTTAGATTTTGTTTTAGATTTTGAGATACTGCTAAGTTTATTTTCTTTCTGTGTTTCATTTCTCATCATTGTTTAATAAATTCTGCAAGTATGATAATTGCAGTTTTTTACTTTTTTTAATAGAGTTTTTGTCACTTTCTTTAATAGAGTTTTTACAAAAGTTTCAGGGCCCTTATTAGATCCAATATTTGGTTCATGTAGGGAGCTGTGTGGTGTAGCTTCAGAAGTTTTGTATGTTATTCAGTGTAGCATTTGTGTTTAATATATCTATGGCAGCAACAATCGCTCTCTTTGTCTCTTTCTCTGGTATCTATTTTGTATCAACTGTAGCAAAGAATGCTGGCTAGCTTGCATTGTCTTGTATTGTCTAAGCCACATTTTTTTCAAGATTAAAATACGGCAGTATGAAATTAACTATATTAGTAAAAAATGACACATAATACTCCCGTTACTTCAAATCCTAGAAAAATACTTTACGTTAAAAAATGCAGAAAAATGTTTCTAAAATTCTGGATACTTGATATCTCACATGACAATATGAAAATATAAATATTTAAAGAAGAAGAATAAAAGGGGAAGGGGTTTATGCTTTATGGAATACCTCCACAGCTTATGTCACGGAACTAAATACACATTTCCAAGATCCAAAGTGCTTTTGAATATTTGGAAGGTCAGTTGCAAACAGTGAGTGCATTGACAACCAGTTGGAGATGGTGGGCGCATTACTGAACTATTGTAAAATGCATACCAATTGCGTCAATTCATTTTTTGCCCTTTGCACCCGTCCCTCCCAATAAAACAAAAAGATATGACCATCTGGTAGGATCTTGACGGGCAACATGTCCGGTCCAGCGCCATTTGAGTTATAGACCCATCTCCAATATCTTGTATTTTTGTTTTCTTTCTGATTCCCTCGCATCTCCCTTTTATCTCTTGAGTGTTGTATGACGGATTTTCATCTCCATATGTTTCTGGCATCTTATTAGCATGAACTCCTGTGCCTTTGTTAGAGAACGCCTTTGAGAGCCTTATAATACAGGCATGATGAAGGAGTCTATAATGGATTTTTTGATCGTCATGCTGACTTTTCTGTCTAATAGTATAAGGGAGAGACCCCAGAATTTCCATTTTCCATTTTGATGATCAGTATAGCCTTTAATTGTATTGAAACAGTTATGCAACAGAAAAGATTTTGCGTTTAACTTCAGTTTGTGTACTGACTTCAATTGTTTATTGTCATCTGGCAGCGCGTTGTAAAGTACAGTACATCAATGCAGTACTCCATCCAGATCCTTGTTGCTGTTATTTCTTTCACCATAATCAGTTTGAGGTTGGTCTTGTTTACTGTCGTAGATTTCTCTGGAATATTGTGTTGCTAAGTGAGAGATTTCTCTTCTTTCTGTGATTTTGTTGTTGTTAATGGTGTTTTTGTTTTTGACTCTTAGTAATACTGCTTCTCTATGATAAGTTCTTTTTTAGTTTTCCTTACTGACTTCGAGTCTTGCATTATTGTATTCATTGCTTGTGTTTTGTATTCCCTTAGATTGTTTCTTATGGATCACTTCTCCAGCTGTCTAGATTTTTATAATCAGCAAACCATCCTATGATCTGAAGAGAAATTTATATTTTCTATACCTGTGTTCACAATACTTTTAATTTTGTCTGTGCGTGTAAAGTCAACCTCGTTCCTTGTGTTCCCATCTTGGGACTGCCAAGAGCATCTATTATCCTTCTTCCATCTAAAAAGAGTTTGCAATTTTTAGCCTTTGACCCACAGCGAATTCAATTAACCTGTCTCTTTCATTCCATTTACCAAATCCATAACCTCTTCTTCATTGATTTCTTTCATTCCTATGTTTGCATAAAATCTCCCTTAGCAAAGATTTGTTGTGTTTTATATTGCCTTAACATGTCATTTAGTAAATTGTAGATATCTTGTAATTCTTCTTCTGTGCATGTGATTGTTGGTGTACATGCTATTTATTATTATTTTGCATGACCCCATTGTCAGTTTCAGAACGGAAATTCTTTTGGAGACTCTTACTATTTCATTTATTGATCTCTTTATATTTTTGTTTATTAAAAAGCCCACCCCTTTCTGTCCTTTAATTGTTTCAATACAGGTGAATGTCACCATTCTTCTTTTCTATTATTGCCTCTCTGTGCTTTCTCATTTCAGACATGCTAATGACACGGTATTTTATATTTCTTAATGCTGTTTCCAGTTCTATTTCTATCTCTTCTGACAAAAGTTAAAAGTGTGAAAAGTGTTGCAATTTTAATGATGATTTTGATTTTAATGATATTTTGATATATTTATTATTCTGGCGGGGTTTTATCTCATGCGTTTCCTTCTCACTGTTTGATAAAATTTATTTTCTATTATTAAATGAATTTTTTTCTTGTCTGTATCATGATTTTCTTTGTTTGAAGTTGTTTTTCCGTGTTGATTTAATGATTTGTTGTTTTCAGACTGTTATCAATTCGATGTTTTGGACCCTTCAAAGAGGGCAATCTGCAGTTGAATCTGAGATAATTTCTTGGTCTGTGCTCCCCAGTTTTCCCACTTCCCATTAATTTGAAGTTTTAAATGTTCTAATTTTACAGAGTTTCCTTTCTCTTTTTCGTAATGCTGCTTGAATTTCTCTTTCATGACTGGTCAAATCTTTGTCAATAAAGTAGTTGCTACCTTTTAGTTTACTTTTGATTTTCATAACTTCTATTTTTCCTTCAAAAGAACTCATTTTTACCTTCGTTAGTCCACGGGCCTGTCTGTGATAATGTGACATAATGTGACATAATGTGATTCAACAAAGGTAGACTGAACTTCTAGTATTTGTAGCATTTTTTGTGCCCATTGGTTTGCATTTGTTATGCTTTGGGTGTTGATTTCTATACTTTTGATCATTATGTGGTTCTTCTTCTCTTGTTTAATTTGTCTGTCTAATTCTTCTTCTGTTGTGTCAGTATTCAAATCCTTTTTCTGTTTTTGTTTATTTTCTTGCAGTTGAAACTTTTTTAAAATTTCTTTATTTTCTTGAATTTTTCTACATTGGCTCTTAAAATGTTAATTTTTTTCATGGTTGTTAGTGGGAACTTTTGGTTTTGATATTTGATTTTATTTATCTCTTTCTTGGTTTCTTTTATTGTTTTTAAAATTTCATCTAGCATTTGTTTGGTGATAGACTCAGTATTAAAATCATTGCTAGTTTGTTAATTTTGGTGTGAGCAGTGTTGTCAGGTTTCTTACTATTGTTGTCTTATCTTCATTATGTTATTAATTTTATCATCCATTGTTGACTTCAAAGCCTATCTAGTTTTACTTGCGTCTCATCAGATTATGAGAATTCTGGGCATTGTGACGATCGTTGGTATTAGGCTTAGAATGCAGTAGGTCTTATGTTTTCAGCTTTCCTCATTAGAATGTGTTGATGTTCTAATAATGAATTCAAACACTGTATTCCTTTTCCCCAAAGCTTCATTAGCTGGTAGATGGATGCAGAGTGTCAAAGCTTCATAGATAGTGTCGGGGTTAGTTCTCTGATATAATGAACAACTAATGTTGCTCTGCAAAAGTTTACTACAAGGAGTCTTGCAGAGCCCAGTCACTTCCAGAGCCGACTCTGTATATATTCCTTTATATTTCTACTTATTTATAATATTTACTTATTTTGGGTTAACAGGATATACATGTCACCCCTCAGAACAGACAGTGATGATGTATGTTGTTTGTTTGACTTTTAGCTGTTATTTTTTTAATGTCAGAAAGTGAAATTAACTTCAATTTCAATTTAAAATATTTTTCTTTGTTGTAGTACACTGATTCCATGAACAAGATTGACCCAGATAAAGTTTGCAGTCTTGTGTTAGAAGTTGTTCCTGAGTATTCTTGTTTAGTATTTTGCCCCACAAAAAACAACTGTGAGAATGTAGCTACATTATTTACTAAAATTATGCCCAGGTATGTATTGATTCTTCTTACCAGTTATAATAATAGTAAGTTGTAACAATCAGTAAACTGCACAATACTATTTCACGATTTTCAGAGAATTATTGGAAGTCAAAAAAGAAGAACGGAAAGCTCTTTCTCGAGCATTGGCTATAGAAGGGCGAGGTTCAATTTGTTCAGTTCTTCAAAAATGTATACCTTATGGAGTGGCATACCATCATTCTGGTGAGTCATCCCCTGCATATAATACATTAAGGAGAGTTGATGGATTATTTCCTTATATAAAAAAAACATGAACAGAAAATTTCATAAGGGTATTTCTACTATAGTAGAGCGTTACTCTCCCAGGAGTCAATTAAGCAAATTTAGGGCTGTTTCGATCACCTTCTCCCAAAGTCATGGTTTTGTTACAACCAGTTATGAGATATTTATCATTAACTTTACATGTGTCTTTGATAATTTATTTTAACTTGAGGTTTGTTATCTTCAAGTTATGCTTAGTAAAGCAAAAGTTAGCTACATGAAATGATATTTTTGGAGTAAATAAATCATTTTGACGTCTCAGTTGCATTTTCTCTTCGTAATCATTTGCTCATTATCGTGTATTAATAGCGTGTTTGTTGATCGTCGCCTTATTCCAGTTGCAAGTTGTGGTAAACTTGGTTTCAAAATAGAATAAATTTATTAGAATGCAAAATATCCAATGCATTCACATAGAAAGAGAAAGAAAAGGAATGTATAGAAGTATTTTAATTCTATTAATTAATTTTAAATTATGATTGTACACATATATATTTAGTATTTGTTCACATCTGAGATGCACTATTATACATTTATGTTTTAGCGTATTATTCATTAGTAACAATAACATATTCAATCACTGATTTTATTTAATCTTTTTATAAATGTTCTTATGCAGTGATATGTTTGTTTTCTCTACACTAATCAGAAATCAATTATTACTTTCACTTAATCAAATCAACCCTTACTTTCTCACACTGAGTATATTTTACCAATATTATGATACCCGTCAGAATGGCTCTCCTATCCTGGAACAAAGATATTTTTTGTTCCCAATGTGAAAATGTAAAACTGATGCCCATTGCATCTTTACTCATCTGTCTCCACGACCATCCCACCTCACCATCGTTTTGTGGTTTACACCCTATATTTCTGGAGCTTAAACCAAATTTACGCACCCTTTATTATTTGGGCTGTATAAATGTCTACACTCTACAGTCGTGCTTGGGACTCTTCCTTTACTTGTCTGAGGGGTGGCATTTTGAAAATTGCACCACTAATCTCTAATTACTCTCTACAATTTAGATCGACACGTTTCTCCTTAGCTACAAACTTCGACAGGTCTATTGTCCTTGCCCTGGTCAACTCTTTACTTGCAATCTCTCTGGAGTGGACTTTACTAGATGACCTTCACAGATATGATCATTTGTCCACATTAGTGGACTTTGTTGTGGGTTGGCTGGACCCCCTCTGTATATCGTGCTATGTGCAGACTTCGTCACTTCAAATGTCAATACTTGCGATACTCACTTGGATGGGCATATTTCTCAATTTTTGTTATATTCTCAGCTTCTTTGGAAATCCAATTCCAAAGTCAATGGGTAGACTGTGACGTTTGTTCTATATTGGAATTCGAACTGATCAAGAGTGGCCATCGACAGTCCAAAGGCTTTTTAATTGACTACAAAAAGAACATTTAATTGACTACAAAAGGTGTAGAGCGAAGCGAGAAAAACAGCAAAATCTGTTCATAGAGAGCATGTTTCCTCACTTAATTGCCATACATCGTCACATTTGGCATGGAGGAAGGTATGTCATATAAAGGGATTTAATCTCCAAACTTAATTCTGGGTCGTCTTAAGACTGGCCTGATAATTACATCTGGAGATGAGATTGTTGGGGAGCTCACTGCTAACAAACAAATAATGTTGAATTTGGCAAACTTTGCTTAAGTCATGATTTTGTAAAAGAAAGAATGGAGAACAGAGCAGTAAACAATTACAATGCCCCATTATCTATTACTGAAATGCTTTCTGCACTTGCGCTTATGAAATGTTCCAAACCAGGTCCTCATGAAGCAAAAAACCTAAAGTTTTTTCATTTTCCTAAAATAACCATGCAATTTCTTCCCCAGCTCTATAATATAATTGGAAAGAGCACACTGTCTCTGCTCCAAAGAAGCTATCATCCCTGTTCTGAGGAAAAGATTGATAGTTACCACTGAAGTACTGACATCTGGATGGATGGAACTTTGGGGTTGACAGCTTCTGAGCTCATGATGCACTGTTGCCAAACACAAGCACGAAATGTTTACCACATTCGCTACAGGTATTCAGGGCCCTTTAACAACCCGACTGCAACCTTATTTAGTGCGAATATGCGAGCCCTTCACTAATTTACTCATTGCAATGTTTCTATATACAGTTCAACATACAGGAGAGAAGGATATATGGAATAACTAGTGGTGCTAAAACAGCAATACTTCCTTGCCTTTAGTAATAGTTTTGTAATACTATTTATTCCACAATTTCTGTCCAAATTAACACATGTAGGTCATCTTTTTTAAAGTCATTACCAGGGTTGGGCAGTATACTTTATATTTAGTATTTACATACTTCTGTGAAATACTTTATAAATAAGTATTTAAAGACATACACAAAATACATAAGACGTTGATGTGCTGAATAAATATGTGTTTAAAATACTTCAAATACTCAAAATACTGAAAATATGTAATAATTTTGTATTATGTATTTTTTATTGCAACAATATATTGTAATTATCAATTACAGTAAATTACTACTTGACAGTCATACAAATTTCTGAATAGACATTCTGAATTCTTTATAGACATTTTCAAATATAAAATATCTAAAATGTGTCTAACATAAGGAATGGAATTTCCTTTTAAAAAGCTTTATATTTTTTAAACAAATCATCTGACAATAAACCCCTAGTTGGCGAATGTATAGAACCTGCAAAGGAAAACAGTCGTTCAAATGGTATGGATCAACATAAACTAGTGTTACAATGAATAATCGCCTATTTTAATGCTGGATAATTGTCTAGCATTTTTAATGATTTAGATTTATCATTTAAAACGAAGAGAATCCAAATTCAACAGCTATTTTTGTTTCAATGGGGTGCATTCAATAATGGAATGAAACAAAAAGAATCTATTCTAAACTATATTCTTGTCTGTATTTAAAGTATTCTAAGTATTTCTTTTTTTAAATACACCTTCTTTATGTATTTAAATATAACTCTAAAATATGACTACGACTTCATCTAAAATACATCCCCAAAAAACTCAAAAATACAATTTTTAAATACAAAATGTATTTAAAAAATGTATTTCAAATATAAGTATTTATATACTGCCAAACTCTGATAATACATTTGGTGCAAAACTAAAATTTTCAAGCAAATATCAATACCAATTTGACAATTATAATTGCTTTTCATGCAGGTAAATCATCTCCCAACAATAAGACGGAATTGACAAAAATTAGCTCCCAAGTCATTGCTGAAAGTCATTATTCAAATCTGATATTTCCTGAAAGGTAGCAATTTTTATTTCATATATTTCAAATAGGTTTTATATAATTTCTAAACGATTAATATATAAGGTCGAATGTAAGAAACAAGCAAAGAAATATGAAATAATATACAACTTCTAGCTTACGACGCATCCAACTGTCTGGAATAACGTTCACAAAACGCAGTAAATTCGGAGCGGGCGTTAATTTTTGTCGCGAAATTACACGAAAATTCTCATATTTTCAAAAAATTCAAAATGACCTTATTTGAAGATCTATTTTGTACGAACACATTTTATTAAGAAACAAGTGGTGTTAAAGAACGGCACAGACCTCCTCGTACTAGTTTTCTAATGTCTTTGGTCTCGGTTATCTTTTCGGTGTTGCTCCAACCCTTTGCAAGTCGCCGTCTAAATGACATTTAAAAAAACAATTCACTATTTTTCGGTTTCCTAATTCTAGAACCGAAATATTACTTCAAAAATATAAAAGAAAAGTTCAACCTTGTCCCAAATAGAAATTATCATTAAAAATATTTGGAGCCGTTTAAAAAAAAAAGGCGATTTAGCCTAACTGTAAATGCGAAATTTGAAGCTCTTTTTTACAGAAAAATTTTCCACAAACAAAGTTCTATAAGTGTCCGTATTCGCGTCATGAGAGAGATTAAAAGAATACTAATGTGTATTTTCATTTAAAACAGAATATTCCAAAAATTAATTTTATGTCATTAAACAATGCAACAGCACTAACCGTACGAAAAGTTTGAAGAAAAAAAATTGGAGTTATTTTTGAAAAAAATGCGTTTGAGCGTTTCTATAAATGAAGAATTTTGACCTCATTTTCACAGAAAACGATTGGGTTTTCGAGAAACTTTTTGCGACATTTAGAACAAATGTATTCATAAACGTAATTAAGTGAACAATTCGCCGCTAATGTATATTATAACAACATGAGAGAAAAGTCAAAAAACACTCGTTTGTAATTTTTGAAAAAAAGCAAACAAAAGAATAGAACAATATGGCGTTTTATGCCATCTTATAGAGTACATTTAGCACTATTACTACCAAAAGTTTAAAGAAAAAATTGGAGCCTTTTTTGAGTAAATCTTTTTTTAATTGCACACATTTTACGCAATATTGTTCGAAAACTACTGAAAGTGAAAAAAAGTCCATGACAACGAAAGAACGATGGACGAAGCATTACATAAATTTCTCTCTACCGCGGTAGAGGTAGCGAGAAAGTAAATATATGCGACGTCATGATAGAAAATGAGGTACGTACAGTTGATGTTTTCGAAGTAAACTGCCCTTGTTTTTCTTAGGTGATGGGATACAAACAAATCTGTTATTAATTGGAGTAAGATCCTACTCATGCCATTTTCATAACCACCGTTTTCAGCAAAGCTGCCTTCATTATCACTATTCCTGTAATACCATAGTGACATTGGAAAATCTTCAACATTAGTTCTGTTATATCCCGATTTATACAGTATCAGTGTTTTTGACAATACTTTCCGTAAGTTCCACAACGTTTTCAGTATCAGAAGTGATATGGTGAAAAGCTTCTGATACACCTTTCTGAACCTGAGAAATCGTGAGTCTTGTTTCTTTGTGCTACGAACTTCATGTTAAAGAAATATTTTCAATTGCAGTAAAGCGGCAATGATTTGGAGGTGAACTTGAAATCTTAAACCACAGTAGAGAGACTGCAAGAATTTACTTCAACGAACATATTTCGGCTCTTTTTACTTCTCCGGAAACACCTTTCAAAAAGTTTTTGCGACCGACCCTTACGAGTGTCCCCATACACATTACTGAAGACTACGAACCGAGCTCTCGCCAAGCTATGTGGTTGAATGAGTTTCCCAGAGTTTTCTGTTCGGGAAGATAAGTTGTATCGAAAATCCTGCTCATCGTTTACAAACTACCGGGGCTTATTCATTTGGGTCCGACTGTTGATGCTGAAGAAACTTTTGTTTATATTGCTTCTATGAAAACGAATGATGTCAGAGGCATTAAAATACATAGATTCAGTACTGCTAAACATACTGAGGGTAGCGCATGTTTAAAAAAAGTCACTTTACTAGTTGGATTAAATTATTATCTAAAACGGCCGCAACTTTCACAAATTAATATATTGATGACGTTCATACCTTGTTAAATAAGAAATTATGTATCAAGGTTTTTAATAACTGAAGATCGTTTCGATCGCTTAATGGTCATGAGCTGAAAATATATACGAGAATTTATTACAAAAATGTGTTAAAGAATATGACAATTATGATGTGCCTGTTTACGAATCTTGAGTTTACGACGTTTACAGATGTTACACTAAAATGATTCGGCCTTTTGAGATGGGCTTGGGGTATGTAATTCCAAGTACGTGGGCACCAAGGCTGTGGGTTCGAAACCGCGTAAGTCATGAATGTTTTGAGTGTGTTCATCGGGAGATGATTATAGTGGCGGCGGCGGCAGCAACGAATTCCTTCTGAGTCTCTCGTTTATTTCATTTATACCCTAATCCTTCCGTAACCTGTTGGCCCGGCATGGAACACTATGAGATATATGTGTAATTTTTGGAACTGACCCCGTACGTTCAGAACAATGGCACGACACCGGATGAAATCACATGCTACCATGGACACAATATAATGGAAAAGATCCGAGATACTCGTAGCGGCTTCAGTGGTGTAGCGGTTATTGCATCGGACTGTTATACCTAAGCTCGTGGGTTAAAACCCGATTGAAGCAGTGGATATTTAAGGGCGAAAAAATCCTTTGTACGTCTTGAAGCCTTTGTACACAGAGGGGAAGTAAAGCCGGCTGTCCCATGTAAGATCAAACCTAAATGAAGCCTCTGACCTAAATTCAAATCACCCGTTTCGTCGCCCGATTCCTTCTTTCTCTGCTAGATGGCGAAAGGAGCGTAGCGAAATTTGCGTGGTAAGGCGGAAGAACAGGCCTGACGGCATGAGGCTCGCCACGTAAAATAAAGCATCATTAAAAAAATTGAATTGAGCTACGTGGAGTTCGGAGAGTGCGACGGTGCTCTTCACTACGAATGCGCCCACAGGAGGGGCAGATGCCGCGAGAGGTCCCGGTAGAATTTTTAGGAGCATGGTGGGGCAGGGCCGTAAACCTTGCCCCGACTTAGAAGAATAGGGAACTAACTTATACGAGCATGTCAGAGCCATTTTGTAGCATTACTAATTTACATTGTTTTATTTTCTAGGCTTGACAGGGGACGAACGGCGCTTGTTGGAAGAAGCTTATCGCGCTGGTACGCTTTGTTGCATTTGTTGCACTTCTACTCTTGCTGCTGGAGTAAATTTACCAGCAAAGCGTGTGATTTTGCGAGCTCCATTTGTTGGAAACACTTTTATCAATCTAAGCCAGTACAAACAAATGATAGGCCGTGCTGGTCGAGCTGGTTTGGATTCTATTGGTGAAAGTATTCTTGTTTGTCAACAGCGTGATAGGGAACGGGTAAGTAGTTTTATCCAAGTCCTTGGTAGAAGGTGACTCATGCCTAAAGAAAAATGATTTGTTGACAATAGTTTTTGCAGGATGTGTTAGAACTATCTTTATAGAAAATTTGTATGAGGAATATTCTTAAAATATATTTGCACATTAAATTACAGTTAGAAATTCGTTAAGGAGTCTTATTAATCTTATATGGACATGCAATCTTTGTTCACTTCGTTGATATGAAAGAGGTCCCCCAAAATTATATTAACTCACAAATGATTGTGAGTGGACATATAATGATTATGAACTCTTCATTGATGAATACTTAACTTTTAGAGAAATCAGTGGGTTTGTTTTGCTTAATGTGCTGCATCAGATCTGTGTTAAATTTGATTTTCTATTTTTAATCTATTCACTAATGATGTTACTTTGAGTTTTTGGATTAAAAGAATCATGAAATAATTATTACATATCATGTAATGAAATAATTCTGAAGATCACAAGGAGAGACATTGGGAGGCCGTAGACTTCTGGGGATAACGAGACTTCAAACTTCCAAGGAAACACTGTTAGAAAACATCCCAAATTTGAGTGAGTCATGGCTTGTCCGAATGGACGAATGGTCCTTGTACGAATGGACGGACGGCTGGAAAGATGGACTGAAGGATGGTATCCTTCAATCTGGAACCGCCGTGAATCTCTAGAGAGAGGAAACACTGTGTGTGTTTGACTGCGTGAAGGCTCCCTTATGAAAGAGACCGGGGGCCTGCTCCTAGCAGCTCATGAACAGGCTCCAAGAAATAACATCATTTAAGCCAAAATAGATGGGGGCAAGACTGCAATCACTTCATCAATGACAATAGCGTAATTAATTAAACAGATTTCAAACAACGCGAGTGTGGTCACAGGTCTTTCTTGCAATTTGTATAGAAAGTAAAGATTGCAGGCAACTGATTAATGATAGAAGCACAACCTAGGAGGTTGAAAGCTACAGTACGAAAGTACTCTGGGATTTAAAATTGATAGACCTCTGGATCAGATGCCAGATCTCACCGCTGTCAAAGAGGCGCGAGTACGAATAGTTGGGGTTCCTACCAGGATTACTTTATATGCGTAAGCACGACTTGGTCACTTTGGGATGTTACGTCCTTCGAAAATCCACGCACCTTAGTTGGGATCGAATCCACGGTCTAGCGTCCAGTATCCACTCGCTCCTGCAAGATCGGGTAGGGGTTGTGATAGAAAGTAGCTAATAGTTTGTCAATAATGCACTGGTTGCCTTCACTACTTCCTGCGGCCTGGTGCTCAATCGCCATTGTAGAGTTTCGGCCTAATTTCTTGGAATTTCGTGACGATCCAGCACAAATTTCTGAATGAATCACTATTGCTACTGCACAAAAGTATGTACACGTCCCTACAGTGTACTGCAAGAACAGTGCACATCGCTTTCCCTGTACATCCCTGCATTGTCTTAAATTTAACAAAACGTGACTATTGCGTTTCGTCACTCTTAAAGTACCTATTCACGCAGCACACGCAGGCGCAATATCAGTCACATAATACTGAACTCGGAAATGTACAGGAATTATATATATACATACTAGAATTCAATAATAAAATATTGTTTTAAAATAGCGTTGTACATCACATTCAGTAATGTTCGTACTTGAAACTACGTGCTATATAATTCTCGAAAATTCGAACTTAACATTGTCTAGATGCTTGAAGAAAAAGTATTACTAATTATGCTGTTTAACAACTTGCTGTACAAGCACCCTGATGAAGCAACTTGAACTGCTTCCGCCAATTCCATATGCTACCGCGCCTGGTGGCCAAGCAATGAAACTATTGGAGTTGGGGCTAGAATGCCAGATGCGTTTGTGGAATCACATCAGTCACCTAATTTGTAAGCACGTACCCTCAATACGTAACCTTCTCGAAGGACTTTCGCCTTGCAGCTGAATCGAACTTGCGGAATGGATACAACTATCTTTTGCGAAACGCAGTGTTACAAAACCAGCTACTGCAGCCGATTCAGTGGTCTGAAAGCATCCAAAGAAAGGACAACATATTTTTGCATAGAAAAAATGAGAAACACGTACTGTAAAGATAAGAAATCATAAAACCAACCGAATAACGAAAGGATGCGGTGCTTCACTCGCATCCATTGACGATACGCCAATGGTTCTGAGTATGCGAATTTTATCGGCAGTGTGAGAATAGACAAATCAACTATTTGCATTTTTTTTGTCAAAATCGAAAGTTTCATTGTTTTCGGAATTTTGCAGAGTTCCTGGGTATCTGATCATCCATACACCCCTGGCCGGGCTGCGCCGTTTTCTTGTGGTTGGTGCGCCCATCGGAAATTAGTACAACAAATAAAATTAGTAATACAGATAAAATAATAGTAAGGAATGAGTAGTAGTTGATGAAAGACTCACGCTTGGTTTTCACTTTTTCCTTTTGGTTTTTCTCCCAGGATTTCACCTTTTTAAGCGACCCTTGTGATCCTCGTCGTCAAACGTAGTGTTCAGGTTCTCACATGAGAACACTAGAAACATATTTAAGCAGTAAACGTATTTTATTACTATATTACTTGTACATCTTGAGCTCTGGTCGTTCGACATAGAACGCCAACTCGCTCATGCGCTTAATCGCTTCATGCACCATCTATCAGCCGCATTAAGTACCACAAACAGTTTGCGAGCGACTTCCCACGTACAGTTCGCATTTCAACTTTCAACGTGGGCGATACTCATCATTGGAATGTCTGCTTAAAACGACGAAACTAAAACAGTCGCTGTCGCGAGTCTGATTCTCATGATCTCGGCGTCAACGGACTGCCTGAGGCAAATTATTGTGTATATTTGGCAATTCGTTTCTCATGCTCGAGTAAATTCTATTTTCCTCATTTGCGTCTGCGTCCATTTCTTTAACATGATCTCGAACTTTAAGGTTTTATGAACATTTTGCTTATTCGGTATGGCCCTAGAAAAACAGGTTTTAAAGGTAACCAGCTGTTGTTGGAAAACAACAACAACAACAACAACAACAACAAATCTTTGTTTATACTGCGATTTTCGCAACTGCCCGTGGCAGGTATCAGCTGTTGACAGTTTCATCCAATCGGGATCTTGAAGTTCCCGATTGGAAGAAACGGCCAACAGCTGGTACCTGCCGAGGGCAGAGTTGCATAAATCGTAGTATAGGTATAAGTAGGAATTCGAAATTTGGATTTAAAAATTGATTGTATATTTTTAAACAATGTTCAACTATTAACAAACTTTAACAATGTAGATTGCATGTTAATTATTAAAAGATAAATTTTTGTGAATAAAATGTTATGATTTAACTACAAGGAGTTCTATAAATGTAAATAATTTGTAATTTCAAAAACTCTAGGAATATGACCTTTGGAAGTTGAAAAGTTGATAAATGTGCTTTTCGATCGTCTTATATTCAAATTATTGCAAGCATACATTTTTTGGGGGAGCACAATGATGCCATAACTCTGGCTTTCCTTGGAAAAAATTATTTGTTATATTGTTCAACAGTGCAGAGTTCATTTTATGTATTAATGATTATGGATTATTTTGATTTAAACGTGTTAATACAGAATTGCTTCAGAAGTTTCCATTAGTGTAAGTTGTAAAATAAATTTCAACCCAATTTATTCTCATTCCTTCAGGTAGGAAACCTTTTGAGATCACGGATGAATAATGTTGCTAGTCAGCTTCATGCATCTACAAGTCGAGGCTTGCAATCATTAGTTCTCAGTTCAATTGGTTTGGGCATTGCAAATTGCCGTAAAGATTTGTACAAGATGGTTTCTCATACACTCCTACATGTTCAAAGTGCAATCTTGGAAGTGAAGTCCACAGAACTTGTCGATAAATCTATTGGCAGCCTTTTTAAACTAAGGGCACTGCAAGTGGATTCAACAGAAAGGTAATATTTTCCTACAGATCCTTAGGATTTTCTACAACTTCCCTATAAATTGTGTATAACTTCCCTATAATTCGTAATTTGATTAATTGCTTTGCCCGAATGTTACTGTTACATATCGAAGGGTTCTAAGAAGGAATGATCAGGGGTCCAAAATACCAAGATTTCTTGGAAATAGATTTTAATGTTTGAAGCGTAGAGCCCAAACCGGTTCACCAGGTTTCATTATGTAAATGTTTTTCAAGCGTACTACCGCGTAGTGTAGAGAAAGTCGTGTATTGCTACAACTAAAAACTAGTTTTGGACGGAAAAACGATTTCAAGAACAACATTGAGTGTCGTAAATTAAATGAGGTATATCATTAGTTAAACTTTTCATCTTAGAATAAATTAATAAACAATACTTTGAATGGAAAACTAGTTTAAAAGTATGACACGCTAGAAACTTATTAGTTTATCGTTTGTGGAGTATAGAAAAGCTATGTAGTGCTGCTGGAAATAGTGCCGATTTTTCGACAGAAAAAAACATGTTGCGCGTCCCCGATACCGAAAAAGTTGATTTTTCTTGCTCTTATATGTAGTAAATTATTTTCTTGTGCTCGTAGTGTGGTCAAAATCCAATGGGTTTGATTTGTATTGATCCTTTCCTTACAAATGCGTTTCTACAGAGCTGAGAGCGTGTTTACTTGCAGCCGAAAGCAATGTTTTTTCTGTCAGCAATATGTTACTTCAAAATTATATTTTTACAGTACTTCAAATGATAAAAAAGAAATGAATTCTTCATGTGCAAATGAAAAAGCAAACCTTTCACTTAACATTACTCGACTGGGAGGAAAAGAGGGGCCCAACCAAGTTGGAGCAGATGGAAGCAAGCGAGCTAAGAAACATTTGGATATTGGTCGCAATACACGCTTGAAAATAAGCCGTTTGGGAAAAGCATCAATGAAAGGTAAGTAAATCTTATGGTTTTTCTGGAAGATAAAAAGTGAATTTGCTCTTTTTACGCTGAGACATGTATTTACTTCATAAAGTTTGTTTATTTTCTTATTAAAATGTTCACCGAAAGGTGTAGATACTCGTCCTGTCGCGGAGACGATAGAAGGCTCTCATATCCATCTTACATTCTTACTCTTCATTTTATATGCAATATTCACTCTTTTATCCTCTGTTCTTCCCCACCTATTTTCTCTGTGGTGAAGGCCCACCCACGTCTTTGCCATGCAAGTCGAGCCATGTCGGGACGGAATGAATGACGTGGTGGTTTATGTGAATTTTCCGTGTGCTTTCCTAGGGAAACACTTCATCTAAACTTCCTAGGATTACGTTGTTACGAGTTGAGAGTAACATTCTGCCGTTTGCTTCGCCTCTTCTAGGCGAGCGGTCGGGCGCTAATGTACTCGGGGTCAATCTGGGACTAGGGTCTCGTGACTGAACTCGTGAGCGAGATGCATGTGTTGCCCTGCACGTGTGCTGGGGGAACAAGCCATGCCATTACCCGTTACACGCCCGTGATAACTCTGGCACTCCACTCGGGTGTCTCCTTGTTGAGTACCGTGGTGGGTCAGTTCAGTGATGCCTCATTTTACGTGGCGAGACTCAGGTCATCAGGCCTGCTCTTCCGTCTGACCACGCAAATTTTGCTACGCTCCTTTCACCGTCTAGCGGAGAAAGGAGGTTTCATTCGAGTGACGAAACAGGGGGCTAAGTGTAATCATCTGTATGGATAAACTTCCAAACACGTGGATTGTTGACCTCCTGGTTAAAGTGTCTTCCCTCCATCGCCTATATTTGGCAATAGGTGGTTTAAACCACGAAGACTTCGCGGAAGTACATGAAGATAAGTGGAAATACTTCCGTTTTTAGGCTTTTAAGGATATATATATATATATATATATATATATATATATATATATATATATATACACACACACACACACACACACACACACACACACACACACACACACTTGTAATGCATTGTCCCGAGAGAAGCCCTACTTCTCGCTTTCGACTGCCCTTCTCTTCCGGAACGCATGTGATTTTGCATAACCGTCGGGCTCGCCAATGCGTGCTGATCCCTTTCGTTGTTATAAATGTCAGAGGTTCGACCACCCTGCCCAGCGCTGCGGGCCCTGTCCAGTATGTCCAACTCTATATTTTGGAATAATTATGGGTTTCCAAAAATCTTCATATCAAAGTAACGCTATGTTTTTACTTCAAGCAAATTCTGTCATAGATAGTTAGCATTATTAAGAGAAATTAATTGAAGTTTATGTATTTGTATTTTCAGGTCCAATAGATCAAGGACGAGCTAGTGAATTGTATAATGATTTAGTAAAAGCTCAAACAAATTTTGTTTTATTGTCATATTTGCATTTATTATATTTAGTTACACCATATGAATTAATGGATCAGATAAAACCTGACCCTGATATTTATTACTATAGTGTAAGTAGTGGCTCAATTTTTTATCACAATGTTCAGTTAAATAAATATTTAATTACATCATTACTTCTTTAGGAATAGGCATATATCTATTAATTTTATTATTTATTTTCCTTTAGTTTCATTGTTTGAATAAAAAAGACCAACAGACAGCCCATGTTATAGGTATTAACTTTGGTTGCGTGATAAACATTAAAAGAGGTATAAAATCATTTGTAAGTGTTTCCTTCGTACATTACTTCCATATCATTTTTGAAATTTTTGTAGTAATGTACTAGATATTTTTGTAAGCTTTATTTCTCTTTTTAGCAAACTGTAGAAGAAAGGGTGGTGCATAGGTTTTACATTACACTCATTCTCAATGATCTGTGGAATCAGTCTGATGTGTGGCAAGTTGCTAAGAAATACAATATTCCAAGGGGCACAGTTCAAACATTAATGACTGCTTCAGCTACATTTGCATCATGTGTACTCCACTTCTGTGAGGTGAGAAAATATGATCTTACTACTACTACTACTACTACTTGAATATCAAAAGAAAAGTAAAACAGTTTGATCAAATTTTTTATTATATCAAATTACCGAAGGGATTTATGTAGTTATTAGTGAACATTTTGTTCTCATGTAAATGGATTAGAGAACGATCCTTGAATGTCTATTTGTCCACCTGTGATCAATACTAACCCTCACACTGTACTAAGAGTTTTATTTGAAGTAGATATTCTCCTATCAATCTGACTCATCTTCAGTCCCTGCCAATTGTTGATAATTTTGTGAATTATAGAATTCTTTGACCATATTTCAAAATCTTACGTTTTTTTAATTTTTCCAATTTTTGCATGCAGCCTCTTTTTTAAGTTATATTTTTTAAGATACATTTTAAATTTTTGTGGAACTTATTTTGAAACTTTTTGAGATCTCTATGTTCACAACTTAAAACTCTCAAAATCTTAAGGATTTTGAAAACTAAACCCCTCCAACTTCAATCGCCAGATAAAAGTGTTGTGGGCAGCGCCTATTTATTCGAGTTCAAATCTGAGCCTGAACAAATATTATTTGAATAGCAGCTTTATAAACAACCTTTCTTGTTGCAAAAGTTATTCATAAAATTACATCGTTATGACATATTGCCATTTATGGTATTTCACAGCTGACCATTTATTTTTTGCAGTGATTTGTAATTTTGGAGACTTCGTAACAAATTCTTTCCAAAAATTTGCTTCATTTCTATTACAAATTTATAATTCTGTTATAGAAGAAAATATTGTATGCAACTTGTTTATATTGTTGCTTTATTGCATTCATACAAATTTGAAAATTCACTTCTAATGTCGCTTGTTTTTAACTCACATACTTTTGCAATAAAGCTTTACTTTATAAACTAGTTACAGAATGTATGTATTATTTTGGTATGGAAACACTTTGGATTGATGTAACATCTAAATAAGAATGTAAATAATATTGAGTGTGTTCGCTGTTGTTGTAGCACCTCTAGTTTCCAAGTATTAGTAATTTTCGTGTGATTTTAATTGGGCTCTAGACAATTTTTAATTAGTGGTGCTACAACATGGCACTTGCTTTCACTTACAATGTATAAAGGTATGTAAAATTGAAATAATACAGTTGACTCTGGTTATAGTGAACTTCTGGGGACTAAGATTTTCTGTACCTGAAGTAACACCAAGGCTCGGCCCAGGCTCGGCCTTTGTTTCTGCAGTGAAACTGAGTGATATAAAATCGTCAGTAAGGTCCACAATTCTTGGCAGCTACCTTCACATCAGGAAAGACATCTTCGATTGCGACCATTGGCCGAAGATATTTTTTGCAAGCTGTCTAATGTTAGAAATTTGTGGCACTCAGGCATTCTTTTCCAGGAGGGAATTAATATCCATGAGATATTTCCTACATTCACTATACCCAAGGTTCAGGTTCACAATAACCGAATCTTCTTATGCCTATTTGTAATGTGAGTGAAACAAGACCAGTGACTTAAGTTCACTATAACCGAGGGTTCACTATATCCTAGTTCACTATAACTGTAGTCCACTGTATTATGGAAAGTATGTAGTTATATATCTGAAAAAAAAATCATACATTGTGCTCTTGTGATGTAGAATATGAATATTGTGTCAAGTGGCTAGATGGAAAAGTAAATTAATGACGTCTTTGCTTGTGTTAAAGATAATTGTTTAAATTATTATAGGTATTGTTGTGGTTATTAACATTTTTAATGTGTTATCTCTTCCCACAAAAATAAATATATATTTTTCTTTGTAGGAATTAAAAGAGTTCTGGGCGTTTAAAGAATTACTGGGAGATTTGACTCGACGTTTATCACATTGCTGCTCAGCAGATCTGGTCCAGCTAATGGAGCTTCCAGCAGTTAAAACTGTAAGTTTGTGCTGTAAGATTTTCGGGTTTTGAAGTTTGTATCTTCTAACCGAGTTCATGGAATTCACTCTCCTGAATGCCCAGCATTCACGTCCAATGTTCAGCTATCCAAGATTTAACTGAATCCATTCTGAATAAATTTTGACATTAAATTATTACTTTGAAACTCAAGAGTATTGTAATAGTGCACCCATCCATCATTAAAATCCACACCTTCAACATGCACCTGCGAGTTACAAAGAAGTTTTACTTTCTCGTACTAGCGTAGAAGAGAGAATATTGTAAAGCAAAAAAAAAAATCGATGTTGATATTGATAAAAACACATGTGTTGCTGGTCTGATACCCAAGTGGATTTTACTTTCGCATATTAGTTGTATAAAATATGGAGCGCTCCATGATTTTGCATGTCGTAGTGAATACAATATATAGATTTAGGTAAGTTAATGTGGCAAACATCGATATCCAGATTTTAATGGAACTATGCTTCAAGAGTCCCTGTTACCGAAATCCGTGGTACCTGATGACGTTTTTTTTTCAAAACTTGTCTGTCTGGAGGTGCTACAACAGCACGTACTGTCCAGCATTATTTTTAAATTTGCAATTTTCGAAAATTGAGTAAGTTCGACGGAATTGAGACTCTTTAAAGAACAGGTTTCATTAAGGAAAAAATCTGAATCTTCAATATTCTAGTGGCAGGAAGACGCTGAAAAAATTGAACTTTTGTAATTTTTGTAAACTCAGTGATTTCAACCAAATTTCAGACCTGCACTATTATCTTAAGCGTTCTTTACTCTATTCGGGGGCTAGAGTTTATAAAAAAAATTGGAACCATTTTTGAGAAGATTTTAAAAATTTGAGACTTTATGAAAGTTATCCTAAAAATCATGATGTGCGTTTAAAATTCAGCGAGCCTTGAATTTGTTTAAATTGATTGGCGAGTATCAATCCTGGAGAAAATCGGTCGAAAGGTTTAGGCGTCAGCATTAGCCACAGATAGACGTATGGACAAACGAATTTGTTTTGCCGGCAATCGCTTTTTGGTATGAAGGGCCCACAAAACATGGATGTTAATTACACAATGTGTTAGAGGAAGTAATTTACTGTTTAAAGGAACGAGATTGATCCACATTTTCGTTTAAAGGGTCTGGCTGTAAGAAGTTTTCGTTTGAAAATTTGCAGTTTTCCGGCGATTGTTTACAATATTTTCTCTTCTCACTAAGGAAGGGCGAGAAAGTATAAATGAAAGAAAAAATGGAGCAATTGTTTGAGAAAGACTTGAAAATGCGTGGGCGTCCTGTAAACAATTTATCAAAACCAAAATATCCACATCAAATTCCCAGGGCCTGGAGTTTGGCCAGATCGATCGTGGAATATCAGTTTGAAAGAAAATCTTATAAACGGTTTTAAACAGCATTTTGTAGGTACTCACAAACGTGGATTCTGACTATGCAATGTATGAGAGAAAATAATTTACTACATTTAAGAGAAATAATTATCCACATGTTTTGGTATCGGACCATCACAATACGAGTTTTTTTGTCGAAACATCACATTTTGCAGCAGCATTACATTACTTTCATTTTAGTACGTAAGTACGCTGGTGAGAAAGGGAAATCAATCTGCTTGACTAGGTGTGTGTTAATAGAGCTGAACGCTTAACCTGAAGGTTTGAGCAGGTTTCGTTGTATGTCTGTCGGCGTTTTGGTACTAGATAATTTCAGCTTCTTTGAGTTACAGTGGTTGCAAATTATCTCTCGTACCTATAATAATATGCTTGTTTTCCCTGCCTTTAGCTGAAGTATGCAATTTAGGTCTCAGTCAAGCATACACTGATGCTTCGTAAATGATACACTATTAAATTGTGCATCATCAGAGCGCACATTATTGCCTGTAAAGGTGGTTCACATGTTGCCTGTAAAGGTGGTTCACATGTTGCCTTTAAAGAAACACACACACACAATTTTAACTTTATATATGACACAAATAATGTTAACGTTTTAACTTTATAAATCTGTTGAATTCATAATGAAAATTTAAGTTAGCAAACTTAAAAATTTTGGGCATGTGTTCATGTATGTCATGACTAAAGATTAATGTATGGCCAATATTAAGAGTGCCTAATTAAATTGCATATTGGGCTGATGATCTGGATAAAGTTGTAGGAATGATAAAAGAGTCTTTTGGACTTCATCATATTCCATCAGCCAGGAGGAGCTAGTTGAACTAAGGTAATTTTCTGGGGGTGAGGGGACTTGTGTGTCTGTAAGAAATATTTTTGGTGTCAGAAATTATGCTTTGTTCAGGCTTAATGTTGTATTATGTGAGCTCCGAAAGCCGGAGTTTGGGGGTCCTCACTCGAAAATGTGAAGCGCCATTTGAGGTATTGCGAGATTAGGGTTTGTAGATATAGAGTCATTTATTTAGTCAAAAACTGTAAGTGATATATGGGGGCGAAGATCATCTGCATATGTTTCCTTGAGTTCCAGAATCCCTTTCCATCATTTTAACTATAAATAGTTGAAGGATTAGTTAAAGTAAAGGATAAATAAATAAATTAAAAAAAAATAAAATTGGAAAAAAACACGAGATTAGCAACATTTGAAACACTAGACATTTTCGTTCCCGAGTTCTAGAAAACTTATATGCATCGGTAAAGGAACTGTAGGTTTGATTTTTCTGTATTGCTAACAAAATAGTAACTCACCCTTACCCCTACTCCTGGCACTACAAGCAAAAGGAGATTTCAACAAAATGTGCGTTTAGTGAAGCTACATTTACGTCCAAAAGCAAAACAAGGGACCATGTCACCATTTGCTCAATGTGTCAGGGAATCTGGACAAAAACCTGAACGAGATGGAGATCATTGACCTGGAAGCTGAAGTAGATTATTTGTTACAAGCATATTAAGTTTTTTAAATAAAATATACAATACAAATGTAAACTAATTCATTATGAATGACTTTTGTTGAAATGAACATTATTTTTCTTTTGATGACCAGTATAGTCTAATTGTATAGAAACAGTTATGCAGCAGAAAATATTTTACTTTTAACTTAAATTTGTGTAGCGACTTCAATTGTTTAATGTCATCTGTTTTTCTTTTCGTGGTTTGATGCGTAGCCTCCGTTGCTTCTGTGGCCCGTTTCTGTCCTCCGTGAGTGTGGCGACGCTCTATGAATTTCCGCAGTAGCTTGCGCCCGCCTGGCCTTGACCTGTCGCAGGTGCAGTGCAGGGCGGTCACGGCTACCTCCAGGTGTGGTGGAGGGAGCATTATTTAGGAGGGCTTCTTTGTGGTGGGAGTTTTCCTTTCTCCAGGGACGGATTTGTGCGCGTGTTGGTAGCGACTGTGGTGTTACGCTCTTCAGGCTTTGCTGGAGAGGGCCAGTGAAGGCGCAGCGGCATGACATAGCTCGTCGATTACATTTGCAGAGGCGTGGGCGGGGCTTTTTGCGCCCTCGAGTGCCTGAGAGGGGAGAGGGCTAATTGGGAGGATGTAGGAACACGCGGGAGTCAGTTGGAGCGAAGAGTTAGGTCTTCTTGTGACCCTTACTCTATGTGGTCATAAACGAGCAGAAATTTGTAATTATTAGAATTAAATCGACGAGTTAATAGGCACATCATGACTTGCTTACAAAACTTCATTGTACAGCTTCTGACCTGAAGTTCAGATTCAGTATTAATTAGTAAGTGCGCAATGTTTGTACGGGTCGCGCTAATTAGTATTATACCATCTTAACTTTATCTGAAATTGCTAAAATAGGCAAATTCACAGGAGCATGCACATAGGAGTTTTATTTTCATAAACCTTGAGTATATTTTTATGTCCATGAACAGTATTCCTTTCTTTAGACTCACTAATAATATGTTCACCTGCTTGTTTCCGACTATGGTCGTAAGACTCGTTAAGTGTAGTCCATGTTATTTCTGGGGTTGTAGCGATGTTGCTCACCCACTGAATGACGAAATCCGACGTCGACCTATACGTTGGCTTGAGGGGGGTTTTCCCTTCAGGTATTTCTTCCCAGCGAGGGCACCGTTCCAGCCGGGACAAGATCTTATCTCATGACTGGTCTCCCGACATGTGCTGTAAAGCGTGTGTGAAAGGGGAGCATATAGGACAAGGAAGAGGGAGGAAAGATGGCGCGAGCTTCGGGAATCATGCGTCGGCATTCGCCTAGTATTGTTTGGAGAACCCACGGAAAACTTTCTATCAGATCAGCCGATCACTATAATTCTCCTCCAGACAGCGGTTGAATAGCTTAGTAGTTGAAAATCTGCCACTGTTGGCACTCGAACTTTAGGATCTCCATCAGTCACAGGAGAGGCAATGGTAATGCCGATTGCTGCTCTGAACAAACTCAGCTGGAATGTTTTCAGATGTTCCAGACCATCACGTACCTCTGTACACATTTCCAAATATGTTTTTCTTTCAAAAATGGAGAACTGGTTGTGTCATTCATATAAAGAAAATGTTTTGATTCGATATAAGCTTATTTGCTGTCATCAGAAGTGTCGTGTTTTGGCATTTGTTTGTGTGTCGTGTTTGGACATTGTACTAACTGTTTCATTAAGTATTTTTCAAATTGAAGTTGGTCTACGTGAAGATCAATCTTTTGTGTACTACCACATTTATTCTGTGACACTTCACAGTTTGACATTATGGTGTAGCTTTTAGATACATTATAGTAGGGAATAGTTTTTGCTGTTCTGTTTGTCATTTAAAAAGTTTTTCAGTGTCTGCATTAGCAAAGATTAATTAATTATTATTCTCAGTGGTAATTGTAAATGATACTCTGTTGTTGTATACCATCAGATCTGCAGATGAACATAATTGTATATGCTCTGAAATATTGACAAACTAGAAAATTGTAATTTTATTTACTTGACCAATTCCTGCTGACAGTCTACTGGTTTATCTACTTGTGAACATGAAAAACAACATATAAGTATGTAGAATATTGCTGAGAGATGTATAAATAGTATATGTGACTAGAATTCTCTTCATATGGGTCTTAGCAAATTAATACATTATAAATTTCATACCCGTAGATAACTAGGCAAAAATGTATGTAATAACACAAAACTCCTCACTCTAGGTTTCATCTAGACTCTATAATTTTCTTTAATTCAGGAATTTTTGGATCTGTGACTGCTATTGAATATTCAGGGGGATTTTACCCAACAGTTTAAATGAGTTAAGACTTTTTCTAAAAACTTCATAGAACCTAACTATTAGTTCAATAAGTTAGTGAGTAATTTAGAAATATTATTTGGAATAAAAATGTAATTGATGTTTTGTGGTTTTTCTTTTTCAGGGTCGTGCTAGGCAACTTTATAATGCAGGCTATAAAACACTGATTGATATAGCTAATGCAAATGCTAATGATCTAGTGTCTTCTATAGACCATTTGCCCAGAAAGATTGCTACTCAGATTATTGCTGCTGCTAAGGTAGATTTTAATTTCTTATATTTCTTTTAAAAGATTTATGAAACATTGTAATATTAAATATACGTAATATATTTCAATTTTTTCAGCTATTACTTCTTTCCAAGGCTGAAAACCTGCGAGAAGAAGCAGAAGATATTGTAGAAGGCATGTTCAATAAATCATTTGATAATTAATCTTACTTAAAACCTTAAAAGAATCTTAAAAGATTTAAAATCTTAAAAGATTTATTCTCACTTGCGAGTCTTGGTTATTTAAGAACTAAGAGGAAGTAGTTGATTTTCTGATTGATAATTATTGTAAATAGTGACTTTGATATTTTTGTCTGTGATATCAAGAGGAATGCATCTGTGATTCATATGTTATTATATATAAAAGATAATTAAAATTGAAGTTTAATGTTCTTGGTAAAGTCATCCACAAGTGCGCAACTACTTTACTGGGTAAGTTTATTTGTAGTATTCTACTTTTGTAGTGAAGAATATGCAGGTTACATTTGTGAAGTTTGAAGAATATTTCAATGTAGATGACATTTTGTAATTCTTGCAGTACTTTTTTATTTTTTTAAACATTTTCAATTTTTATATTTTTTTAGAATGTGCCTTTACATAATAAAATTCTTGTTTATCTAAATCAGTGATGTCCTTTTTTTACATTAATTTCTGATGTGAATAATGAATTGTAAATAAGATGTTAAAACAACAAAACATATCAAGAACAAAAGGAATAGATTTTAATAATTTTGTGGGGAGAAGCTAAGTAAAATACTGTTGGATTTGAAAACTTTTGACGTCAATATTTGAGTGATTCCTTCAAAGGATTTTTCCAAGTTTAATAATGTAATAAATTGTGATATTAGACAGAATTCATTGAGATGTACTGTGTTTAGTTGTTTTTTGCTACTGGGTGATTATTGACAGGGATTTGATTGAAAAGTAAAGTCAGTTTGTGAATGGTAAGAAAATGGTTTTGGTAACGAATTGTCTTACAATGAATCAATACAAATATTTGCTCACAAATCTTATTACAGTAGTGTAAAAGATGGTGTCATATAAAGTAATGCAAATTCATTCTTATATTTGTATCTTTTCCGTCATAGATTTTTCCACATCTTGATGGAGGTACACAGAAGGCTCTCTTATGTTTCTTTCCACCCATCAACACTTTTCATTTTACTCTGACACTCACCTCCATGCATGGGAACCTGTGAGAATGATTAATAGATATGCAAATTCAAGATGTCTAAGCAGATCTTACAGTGATCGTGGATTTAGAATGTGCCGACCATTCTGATGAGAACATCATAACAACATGAGAACATTAATAATTAGACAAGCCTTAAGTTTTCCAAATATGAGTTGCATACATTTTTGTGACTGATTTAAAATTTTTGATCTATTGATTTCAAATCTGAAAACATTTTGTTCTATGTTTATCTTTCATCCAATTTGAATTTTTGCATTCAAATTAATTTTTTATTCTAGTATTCCTTTAACAATTCAACCTGCAGAGTACACTGATGAGCTATTAATTCCAGTTTTTGAAACTTTGACTCCATCGGAAAATGACAATGGCGAGCAAAAGTTGGAGTCAAGTGGTGAAACTGAAGGAATATATTCCCAGACGTAGGAGATCATTCTTTCGACACCTCACAGTCTTGTAGTCATTGAACGGTGACAATTTCAGAGAGATCATAAGTGGATTGTTTTAAAGGTATTTTACCTTCCTTGCCACAGCCATGTATCCTTTGGAATTTACATTGGTAGGAATAAGATATCATGAATTAAAAATTGGTAAACAATCACTAAATTTATAAAAAATTGAACTTTGAATTAATTATCTTAATTTAAAGAAACATACCCAAATATAAAGAAATGGTGGTGAATCAATGTTTCAAAATAATTTACATGTTACATTGTTCATGTTGTTGCAATGTTGAATGAATTTATAAGACAGTGACAAGAGTGAAAAAGTCCTAAAATCCTGTGTATACAATCCATTCAGTGAATGTATTTGCAACTTGTAGTCAATAACAGATCTCTTACATTATCTTTTTTAGAGCCAACTTAAATCATAACATTATAAATTGTCTTCAAACATGTAATATAATGTGATTCACTTGTGATGATTAAATTAAGTTTACAACAGATAGACAACTGGTGATGCATAAGTGGGTAATGTGAAATTGAAGATCATCTACATTAAAGTGAATTATGCCTAACTCTGAGAAATGGCGTCATTAGATCATGTAATTAGGGATAAAGAATATAGTAATCATTGAATGTCATCAAAGTTGAACATATACAATTTACAATAATTACAAGTTCACTTAGTGAGCACAAGTGGGTAAAATACCCACTCGGAATTTGAGGTTGAGAGAAATATTCCATAAATGTCAAATTCCAGAAATGAATGAAGTTTCTCGGTTTAGCATTGACTTAAATCGTATGCGATCAACCATGTTGCAAGATCGGTTCAACAGAATTGTGATTTTACATGTTTACAGAGGTATGACTGACAAAAGTGATTTACAAAAATTGTTAAAAGAGTTTATATCAAAAAATGCAAAACACAACGCTGTTCTTGCATTGCAACAAACTGTTAAATAAAATAAATATGTTAATTTGATGACTATTTAATGATAAACTTGACAATTTATATCTTGTTTTGTAATTTTCCCTTCGTATGCATTTTCGGTGGGAGATGGAGGGGGTAGGGGGACACGCCCCCATGGTCAACTACCGACTCGGACTTAACACCAATTGCCGGCTCTGCAGCCCAGCATCAACGATCTTTCCGATTGCTTCCCAAAGAATGACTGTCCTTGGAACCCCACTTGGCGACCCAACTTCTGGAAATTTTCTGTCGACAATTCATTTTGAATTTGATTATTTCTGTTAAACCAACATTAAAACGTTTATTTCGTGTAATTATTTTTGATTGTCAGAAAACTGATTTTAGCAGTACATCTGCAGAATGAACATACATAAATAAATAAGGGATGCACATAAAATGGATTTAAATAGTAGATATCTCTTTCAATTCTGAGAGGTGACATTTTACTGTCGAAGGCTTATAATTTAAGATTTTTTTGTTTTTGTTGATAATGATATTTAAAGAAGTAGTAGTATAGCAAGTTATATTACACCCTAGAGTATCTCTCGCATCCCAGCCTCCATATCGCTTTCCAGCGGTGTAGTCGTCATCACTCAATCCTCTCTTCACCATTGCCTCATCCACTCCCTCTCCCCATGTCTAGGTCTTCCTCAGTGGGTAGGTGGTTGCCATTTCCACAATATTTTCGGTAAACGTTCTTCGTTGCATGTGCCCATACCAATAAAGTATTTTTCACTTCTATCTTCAATTATATTAAAACTTACTTCCGCTTTACGTTTAATTTCTTCGTTCTTAACGTTATCCATTAAAGTCAGTCCGCATCTTCGGCTTCTAAAGTCCATTTCCATTGCTTTCAATTTCTTTTCGATCTTTTTTGTTACTTCCCATACCTCATATACATAATGGGCAATATTTTCTACAACAGTCTTATCCTTTTGCAATTCTGTTTCTAATATCTTGCGTAATGCCTCAATTTGCGTTAATTTCTGTACCGAGGTATATGAATATGTCCTCCAAACCTTCATCCAGTTTCAGACCTTTTGCACTTCCTCCTACAACCATTCAGTCTTGTTAAGGTTTATTTGTAAACACCATTCTGATTACTATTCATATAATTTGCGCAGCATGTATAGAGCATCGTCTTCATCTACAGTGAACACCACCTGCTCATCTGCGAAATGTAGAGAGGGTAACTTAGTCACCCATTTTAATACTCATATTATTACATTCCTTCCTCCTTCTCAGGGCTTCATTCAAATATATTTTAAACACAGCACCCTTTCGTAAACCCTTATTTACTCTAAATAGTCCTGAAAAGTTGCTCCCTACTTTAATTTGGCTCGTATTATCACTGTACAAATCTTCAACGGCTCTAATCAATTGCGTATGTACATTTTGTTTCTCAATCGCCATCCTTAGCCTGGATAATGGAAGAGTGTCATAGGCCTTTCGCAGATCTATAAACACAAGGTGCGTCTCCAAGTTATGGGCGAGTCGTTTGTCTGTTACCTGTCTTAAGGCCCAATGCAATCGTAAACATAAGCATAGCGCATAGACAAATATTATCATAAGTGATTGAAGTATTCACAATGTCTAACATAAACGTAAGCAAAATAAGTTTCTATTGGCTGGATGTGAGAATCGATTTCAAGGCATCGATTGTGTCCATGGCCCATGTGGCGTTCTACGAGGGTTGCCTTTTATATTTCAGGAGTAGAGAACAAAAACAAATATTAATCATCGAAAATCACTTTATTGTTTTTCAAAATATTCCCCATGAAGATCTATACACTTTTGCATGCGTTTGAACCAATTGTCGAAGCACTTTTGCCACTGATTGAGGTATCTCCAAAACATGCATTCTGAATGCAGCAATCGCTTCTTCAGGTGTCGAAAAACGTTGACCTCTCAGTTTGTTTTTTACGTACGGGAATAAAAAGAAGTCATTCGGTGCCAAGTCAGGACTATACGTCGGATGACTCATCAAATCGATGTTTTGGGTGCTCAAAAATGCAGTTGTTTGAGCCGATGTGTGAGAGCTCGCATTGTCGTGGTGAAGAGTGATCCGTCTTCGGCGGATGGTTTTCCTGATTTCTTGGAAGACAGCTGGCAAACAAATCGTTGTGTACCACTCAGAATTGACTGTTCTGCGTTGTTCTAGTGCTACGGTTGCGACATGTCCAATTTGACCGAAAAACAGGCGACCATCTGTTTGGAAGTGCTTCGTGCGCGAACAACTTTTGTTGGATTTTGCTCACCTTGAAGCACTGCTTGAACACACCTTGAAACACTGCAGTCGACTGCTGTTTAATTTCGGGCTCATACGCGTAAATCCACGATTCATCACCTGTCACGATGTCATAGACGTATTTCGAAGCACCGCGGTCGTATTTTTGAGCATTTCTTTCCACCAATCGACACGAGCCTTTTTTTGTGCGATTGACAAATTGTGTGGGATTCAACGCGAACAAATTTTTTTGACAGTCAAATGTTCATGCAATATTGAATGTATGCTGGTCCTACTAATGCCTAAGGGTGTCAACCTCATAATAGGTCACATGACGATCTTGCAATATCAGTTCACGCACAGTATCAATGGTTTTCGGAACAACTGATTTTGGACGACCTTCGCGAAATTCGTCTTGGAGTGAACTACGACCACAATTGAATTCACTATACCATCGATAAACACTGGTCCTTGATAGAGCTTCATCGCCAAAAATTGAATTAAGTTCACCCATGCACTGTTGCTGAGTTAACCCACGTCGAAAGTTGTAAAAAATAATCGCACGAAAATGTTCACTATTTAATTCAATTTTTGGGCCAAGATGAATCTTTTAAGTTACTGTAAACAACACAAATAGCGCTCGTATGTCAAAACGTTCTGAGTGCGTATAACCTCAAAACAACCAACTTTTCGATAGAGCTGTCAGTTGCCAGATTGCAACACCAGGTTTGCCAAATCCCAAAACATAAAAGACAACCTTCGTATCGACTTCGCTGCAATTTCGATTCTCGAT